TGCTCCATAAAGCACTTAGGAAGTTGGGTTTGATTTCTTTGTAAATTACGCCATTCTCTTACTAAAAGTTTTGTTATATACTTCATGTGCTAAATCTAAGTACAATGCCTGGCAAACAGCTCCTAAAATGGAGTCATTAAACCCACTGGGCTCCAAGTTCTACGAGGGAAGGGATGTCTTGTTGAGCACTCTCTCAAGAACCCAGCCTGCTGTTTGGCCTGTGGTTGGTATTTAACAAATATTGTTGAATAAGTGGCCGAATAGGACACAGGAGTGACACTCAACTCTCAACTCCTGCTTCACAGTTACAGTTACCAGCGCCCATGTTCTTTAATCAGCAGTAAGGGACTGGAAAACCCTGTACCCCAGAGGAAAGGCACTCAAGTTCCTGTTTACATTTCCTTAAACTCACCACAAAGATTTTTCCCTTCTGTCCCAAAACCACAAAATCAATGCTTTGCAACAGCCTTCTCTTAAACAATTTTGCTTCATTTCCCCTCACAAACAACACACAAAGTTCCTTAAAACTGCAACTTACTTTAGTTCCCTTTACCCTTTAAAAAGAATAACGTATTTGTAAAACCCTACAGATTCTCAAATTTCTAGTTTTATTGCTTGATCTTTGACTCAGTTGATTGTCACATAGGCTGACATTTTTTCATTTTTACTACATATCCAATACAAATAAAAATAGGCTTAAAACTTAAAAAAAAAGTAGTCATACATCAAAGTTAAAAAAAAGTAAAGTTATACATCAAAGTGTACCATACTTCAGAGCAACAAAATTGAGAAACTGACATATATATTTCTATGTTGTTGCATTTCTTAAAATAAAATTCACAAGTTTAAAAAAGAAAAACAGGCCTCAGGTTCAGTTGGACAAGTCACACAAAAAATTCTGTCATAGTTATACCTCCTATCTGACATAAAACAGCATCACCAAGTTGCACGTCTCTTCTTTTTCATCAGGCTTGAGTCCAAATTCCCAAAATATTAGCCCCCAAATTGTTATTTCCTAACATCAAATCTGCTCTCAAAAGATGAAAATGTAGAAAAGTAACAGACTTCAAAGTGTATTCAAAGTTTCAAAGAATGCTTTCTGTCATTCACACTGAAAAGTTGCTAATTAAAAGAACAACTTCAAACAACTGCAGACAACACTTATAAATTCTGGGCTTTTCATTCTGAAACCAGTTTACATTTGTTTAGTCAATTACCATATAGAATTTCAGTTGTCTTTTCCTCGACTAATATGTTACATCTTGTATCTCTTTAATAGAAATATTATAATAAAAAAAAAGTCTTTCTTCCTGGAAAGACATATAACATACAAGAACTTAACAACTTAACAGTGGTTGTCTCTGAGAGAGACAACAGAGACAGAAAGGAAGTCTTTTCATTGAACACCTTTTTTAGTGTTATTATCAAAAATCTGTTTAGCGAAAGTACTTTCAGGCTGAATTCTTTAGCACAGAACGGTACAGTACTAAAAAAAAAAAAACATGGAGTTCATTTTTGTGGCATTTCACTGTGAACCTGGATGTCTGTTGCTGGGGTGGGGTGGGAGAGAAGGGTACTGGTGGGCTAGTCACACCAGTGACCCAGCAGGAGGAAACAGTGCAAAGAGCGCTATTAAAGTTCACCGACACTCCCTAAAGGTGAGTTTTTACGCTGTATCACTCCTTTAACATTTAAACATTGGGAACAAAATCCTGATACCATGACAATTAATGTGTCAGCTCAAGAATGAAAAGTGGGAGGCATACTAATGAGCTATTAAATATTAAAGGAGCAATGATCCAAGTAGATTCTTGAAAATGAGCAAATCAACAACAAATGCATATACTGAGTGTAACACGTTGCAAATTCCTGTAAAATGTAAACTGCGGTTCTGTAAAAAGGGAGAAAAGATGTCAAGCACGGTGCCATCTGCAACGTAACTCCAGCGGCGGGAGCTAGAAAATGCAACGCGATCTGTTGCAGGACACAATTGCACAATCGCAGTTACCCAGAAGATTCTACCAAACAGGAAATTCATGATGGAACTTAAGAAACACAGGAATCATATTTAAAGATTAACACATCCAGAGGCCTGGAATTTGTTCCAAAACAAAAAGCATTTTCCGGACTCTTTTTTTTTTTTAACAACGCATGCACATAAATTAAAACACAGAAGAAAAAAAAAAACCTAACAATTAAATCTGATATTTAGTTTCAGATCAGGAGCTCCCAAATCATAGTCTAAAACACACCGTATAAAACCTTGGAAGTGAGGGAGAAGTTAGTAACAGTATTTCAGTTCTGGAAGTTTTATGAGATGGCTTTAATTTGAAACACACAGCATAAAGTTGGAAAGGATCTCTTCCTGTCCTCTCCAGATCTTCATGAAAACAACCGTGTACCTCCGTCCATAGAAGTAGTTAAAGTTCCCTGCAAACCTTCTAAGGAACTTTTTAAATGCAGCATTCACAGGAATTATCTCAATTAGATATTCACATCACCTCCCAGCACTGCTAACAACTTTGATCTGGAGGGCGCCCAGATGAGAAAAGTCCTTTTTGGTCCAAACAATACTGAAATGAGCAGTGGTATGTGACTAATCCAGTTTCTGGAGCTGCAGTGCTCCTGCAGGCACTAACACCACCCGCCCCGAAAAGGAAATACGCTTTCAACCGGATCGGAAACACGCCACTCAAGGTGGCACAGCGCTCGCCGAGATAAAGTCGGTATTTTAAGCTCTATGGGCCGCTGCTAATGCAAGTGCAATTCAAAAAGAACGCTTCTCAAAACCGGATTTCGACAGAGGCTTGCAAAACAGAGCCGAGAGAGCGCGCTTTTCCCCTCCAGTCTGGCTCAGATGGCCGCAGTCCCCGGGTCGGGCTTGGCCCTTGGAGCTCTCCGGGGAGGTTCAGGGCCCCGCGTGGACCCACCATGGGGGAGAGAGAGGTCCTTATGCTCCAGGCTGCAGGAGACCCCCGGGAGAGCGCCTTCCCCGTGCAGCAGCCCTCCAAGCAGGGGACGCACTGGGCGCGAGCCAGAGCTGAGCACCGACCGCCCACCGCGGACCCGCGTCCAGCACCCGGCTGGACACCCACCTGGGTTCAGGGCGAGGGGCGCAGGGCAGGCAGGGCTCGCTCAGAGGGGCAGCAATGCCCTGCCCCGAGGAAAATTCCTGCCACTTGGCGCATCGCTGAGCCATGGGAGCAGGCCTGGCCCTCGGGCGTGCGGGGTCACCCAGCCCACTGCGGCCCCAGGCCCGGCGACACTCACCACACAGAGCCATAGGCGCCGGAGCCCACCGGGGACAGGTTCTGGTAACGCTCGGGCACCTCCCAGATTGTCTTGTTCAGCTCCTGTCGGTAGAACGTGGGCCTCTCCTGAGACATTTTCCAGCAGCGGCCGCGGGGCGAGGAGGTGGCCCTGCGGGGCCCCTGCCTGCACCCGCTCCCGCTCCCCTGCCCTGGTTGCCCGCCCGGGCTTGGCGGGGACCCCGCACCGGCCGCCCGCGCAGGGGTGGTTTCGACCCCGCAGACTCCTGCGCGCGGCCCCTGTCAGCTGCAGTGGCTGGACGCGCCTCAGCGACCAGAGCGAACCCGGCTAAGGACAGGAGCACGCTTTGGGGCTCGAGGTTGCGGCCGCCGCCGTCTCTCTGCAGACGCTCCCCGGCTAGGCCGACTGCGGGTTGCGCCGCTGGTCACACGCTACAGCTGCAGCACCCGCTCAGGCTCCAGTGGTCGTAATCCCACAGCCAGCGAGCAGGAGCTGCCTGCCGTACTCTCGCGAGAACAGCTCCCGAGAGCCGAGATTTTACCCAATATGGAACCCGCCCCTGGGAGGGGGAGTTCGTGAGAGAAGAGGGCAGGAGGAGAAGTTCTCGCGAGAAGAGAGAACAGCTGGAGCCCAGAGGCAGGAACTCCCAGGGACCATTCTTAAGGGCGCGAAGGCGGACTCGGGATGGAGGAGATAAGCTTGCAATACGCGCCTGGTGCGCCTCATCGTGGTCGGCGGGGCGAATGCCTGGCTCGATGGCGGAAAGAAATAGTGACAGCGTCGGAAAAAGAGCCAAAAGATCTTTGAACTGCGAGTCATCAGCAGCGGCCGGGCCACCTGTTTATTGGAACCCGCAATTTCCAAGAAATACTTGCATAAAAAGATAGGCTCTGTCCAGAAACCCGTTGTACTCCCATCTGCTCAAGGACGTATGGCTGACTCTTCGATAGTCTGACGAAATCTGCCCCCAAAGCAAATAGTAGATCTGCTGCAAAGCTAAGGCTTTCCATCCAAATTCCCTGGTAGTTCTTAAAAACTTTTACATGCAGAAGAATCACCCTGGGAGTTTAAGAAGCAGATCCCCCGGGCCCACGCGGGAGTCTAATTGGATAAGTCAGAAGTTAGCATCAGAAAATTGCATCTTTATAACATGGCTAGGTGCAGGAACGGCTGCAGTCTCTCTTTGAGAAGCATTTAAAACCCCATTACTCTGAAGGTTTGAAACTGACTCCTGCCCTTTACAGCCATTCAGAGAAGAGGAACTTAAGAATTTAATTCATGCTTCTCTGAATAAGGAAAATAGGGCCCAGGCTGGGAATGGTCTTTGACAGTGTTGCATTTAGGCAAGTCAATCGACCTTTCTTAGGCCTTTGTTCTAGCTTCCACAAGAAAATTCCTGCCCTACATATCCACTTAGTAGAGTCGTTAGTAAAAACAGAGAAAGACATAAATGTGAAAGACATCGTACCTTAAATATGCCTATCAACCCATGACGCTAACTAAAGCTTACAATGAACAGAGGAACTGAACCCTATCCTTTTCTTAGTTATTTCTAGAAATAACTAGGTCCAAGCCAGAACAGGTAGCAAGGGGCTTCCCGGCCCAGGTGTGCGCAGGTCAGCCAGGGGCCCCTCTCGGCCCCTCGGATGCCATGCTCCCCTTCCTCGCCCCGCCCCGGTCCCCCGCCCGCCCGGAACGTCCGCGGGTTCGGCGGCAACGGCTCGGGGAACCGCCGGCGTCCGCGTCCGCAGCGCCACTCCCGGAGGTCCCGGAGCGGCGTGGGACCCCAGCGCCCGCATTCCCGCCCCGCCGGGGACCAGGTGACCCGCTGTGGGTGGGGCCACGTCCACAGGTGCGGAGCAGCGAGGCCGCGGCGGGTCCCGGGGCAGGGGAAAGTTGATCACCCGCAGGCCCCGGCAGGTCGCAGGGCGCTCAGTTCATATTTGCACAATGGATGAACGAATGAATGAGTGAGTGAATGGATGGATGGATGAATGAATGAATGACGGGGTCGCGGTCCCTGGGAGCTTAGCTCTCAGGTATTGTCTCTACTTTGAAAGGCGGTGTGGAACAGCATGACAAGGAACAATGTGTGCCTTTTGCAAGCTGAATCTTTTCAAAATCGCTTGTCTGTGTGGTCAAAAGCACCGAAACCGGTCTACCCCATCCATCTCCTCCTTAGGCCTCACCCCAGTGGCTCCTCCTCCTTTGTGACCTCCTGCTTTTGTTCATTTTGTTCCTTCTGACTGAACCTTTCGTGTGTCCCACCTCCTTCCCTCTTTCTCTCCCATTAAATTCTATTTACGAGGGTCTTCATCTCCATCGCAGTAATGGGTATCTCTCCAACCACGCACATATGTCAGTAGTCAGCGGCTTGAAGATGTCACCCTGTCTAATTATTCACCCCCAGCCACTAACCAAAACGACTGAAGAATACCAAAGATAATGCTCTTTCCTTGGGCTTTTTCTATATTCCCAGTGCATTCCCCATAAAAACCCAGGCAGTAACAGGCAAAGGGTTCTCATGGAATTACAAATGCTTAGTTTAAAATTTTAGAAATGAATTTTGTCTTCTCATTAGTGTAGAAAATATATAAAAGATGACTGTCAGGGGAAAGGTAGTCTTGCAATTTAACTCATTTTCAGGATTTCTTATCTGTTGTGTCAACCGGCAAAAAAATAAATTATTCTTAAATTATTTGCGGTATTTAAAATACTCTGAACACAGGCCAGGAACCGTGGCTTAAGCCTGTAATCCTAGCTACTTGGGAGGTGAAGATGGGGAGTTTGAGGCCAGCCCAGGTAAAAAGTTCATGAGACCCCATGTCAATGAATGGTTCAGGGCATGGTTCTTGCTTGTCATCCCAGCTATGTGGGGAAGCATAAATAGGAGGATGGGGGTTCAGACTGCCCAGGGCATAAAGCAAGACTATCTCAAAAATAACCAATGCAAACTGGGTGCCTGCTGCTCACACCTATAATCCTAGCTACTCAGGAGGCAGGGATCAGGAGGATCAAGGTTCTATGCCAGCCCAGGCAAATAGTTTTTGAGATCCTATCTCTAAAAAACCCATCACAAAAAAGGACTGGTGGAATGGCTCAAGTAGTAAAGCACAAGCATAAGGCCCTGAGTTCAAAACCCAGTACAACCAAAATAAATAATAAATAAAATAACCAATGCAAAAAAAGGGGTAGGGGTGTGGCTCAAATGGCAGAGCAGCTGCCTAGCAAGTGCAAGGCCCTGAATTCAAATCCTGCCCCCATACTGCCAAAAAAATTTAAAAAATAAAATATTCTGAACACAGATCTGCAAAGCAGTGGATGGATAGATGGAATAGTGGGGGAGATTAAAAGCACTGGATTAAAATGCCTATATTTTAACAGTGTCCCAAATTTAGTATGGAAAAGCTGATTAAAGATACTTAGCTTAGTTTTCAGTGGTCCTTACACTTTACTTTGTATCAGAATCACTGGGAAGTCTTCTGAACACAGCCTGCTGGGCTGCCCAGAGTTGCTGGTTCAATAGATCTTGCCAGGTGAGACGTATAAGTCAGTAGGAGCTGTTGATCATCCCATTGTGTCTGGAAGGGTTCTGCTAGAGTGTGAAAACAAGGCACTCAGGTTTTTATGAAATCAAGAACGACATCATGAAGCCAGAGACAGTCCAGACAAGACTTCTAACAATAACTAAAAGGAAATCATGTGTTTTTCTTTGCTGCTTTAACCAGACATTGGGCGAGTTCTTTGAAGACAACTTTCCATCTGTTCCTCCTAGCATGTCCCCATATTTTTACAAGTCTTCCTGGCTTGATAAGATCTCCCCTCGACAGTGTGACATTGATGGTCTCCGACTGGTCTCTCTTATCGCCAACCCTGTCCAATACAGCTTTCTGTAAGGGCGGAAATGTCTCTGCACTGCCCGTTAAGGAAGCCACCACAGACAGCTTTTGAGCATGTGAAATCCAGCTGGTGTAGCCGAGGAAATGAATTTTTAATTTTATCTTATTCTATTTTAATTAAGTAAAATTTAAACAGCCAAATGTAGCCAGTGACTAGTGTACGGACTAGCATACTCTAGACAGTATCACTGACCTGGTCTGGTTTTCAAAGTGTGTCTCCATGCATGTTACTAGTCCTGCTCAGACTATCTATTTATTTACTTGTGGTACTGGAAAGTGAACTCAGGACCTTGCACTCTACCACTTAAGCTGCACTTCCAGCCCTTTTTGCTTCAGTTATTTTTCAGATAAGGGCTAATATCCTTTGGCCTGGGCCATCCTGGACCATGATCCACCACTTATACCTTCTGTAGAGCTGGGATTGCAGTCACAAGCCCCCACACTCAGTGTTGTTTTTTTTTTTTATTGTTGTTGTTAATATGAGGTCTTGTTAGCTTTTTGTCTGGACTGGACTCAAACTCAATCTGCCCTAGCTCTACTTCCTGAGTAGATGGAGTTATAGGAGTGAGCCACTATGCCTGGCCTCATCTCATGTTCAGATTTTTAATAGCTAAAAAGTCAACTCAGCTTTCAGGACCCTCCGCCTACTATTTTTTTTATTTTAACACTGCCTCAACTCAGATATTTGAATTACTTGCCTTAAATTATCTATAATCTACAGGTTATAGATGTATAGATATATTACAGATATACAATCTGTATACAATATAGATTATCTATCTATGTCTATAGTTTTATATGTATATAACTACGTGAGCCATGCCTCCAGCCCTAATGTAAAGTATTCCTCTCATCCTCTGCTGTGTTCTCTAACTACCTCTCACCCCTTCAGTGAATTTGTGGTCTTCAGTGCAGGTGTTATCCAGCATACTCCTGCCACCCAATGCTTTGAGAGTAAAAATACAAAATGTATGTGGCCCAGTTACTAAAGCCAGATTTCTAAAGCCAGAGTTTCATCACTTGTAAAACTAAGAGATAGCGTTAAGATTGTTGTGCGAAGTTAGTGGGATAACATAAAAGCAAATCCAGCATGATGCCTGGACTGTAGCAAATGTTCAATAGATATTGATGATGGTGGTGGTGGTGATGTTGATGGTGGTGGTGATGGTGACTGTGGTGGTGGTGATGGTGGTTGTGGTGGTGGTGGTGGTGATGGTGATGATGGTGGTGGTGGTGGTGATGATATATAATTGTTCTGAAGGAAAACAAAACAGTTACTTGTTTGCAGCCTCTCCAATAAAAGAGCTATTTGTGTAATCTGCATAATTTGAGTATTTACCAATACATTTTATAGCTATGTTATAAGCATGTATTTTTACATTTATGTGGAAGAATATCAGGTTTTATGCTTTTTTATTATTAAAAGCACAGATGATTAATTATGACTATGCTTTCTCCCTGAGTTGGATCCTTATCTATCCTCGTTAACTCCACCCTCTCATTTATTTATTTATTTATTTATTTTGGCAGTTCTAGAGTATGAACTCAAGACTTCATGCTTTTGAGGCAGGCACTCTACCACTTGAGCCACTCTGCCAGCCCCTTTTGTGTTGGGTATTTTTCAAGATAGGGTTTCATGAACTATTTGCCCAGGCTGGTTTCGAATAGCAATCCTCCTGATCTCTGCCTCCCAAGTAGCTAGGATTACAGGCGTGAGCCACCAGCACCCGGCAGCCTTCTCAATTTCATAAAGGAGGAGGACAATATAGATTTTTTAAGTAAAGTGACCCTTAGAGATCATGCTGTCCAAATGTCATTTTATGAACAAGGAAACGGAAATTTAACTGGTTAGAAAATAAGCCAGGAGTAGAACCTCAGTCTTCTGGCATCTACACTCTTTTCTGCTGCCCCACAAAGCTAAGTGGACATTTGATAATCATTCAAGAGGCATTTGTTGAAGGCTTGCTAACTGTAAGACACTTATTCTGGGCCCTGGGGAAACAGCCATGAACTGTCAAAGTCCTGTGTCCTGACCTGACCTTTAATGGGGGAGACAAAAATGGACAAACAAACAAATGTTAAGTCAGTACTGGCAAGCACTTTGAAGAAAAACAAAGGGAAAAGGGACAATGACAGATGCTACTCTGTGTTGTTTTGGGGGTTTTTTGGGGGGTATTGGCGGTACTAGGGTTTGAACTCAAGTCCCCATGCTTGCTAGGCAAGCAGTCTACCATTTGAGCCAGAGCCCCACCCCTGTTTTTGTGTCCTGATTCTACCTATTATTCAATAGCCAGTGTTGCTTAAACTTCTTGCTTTCTTTTCTCCGTTTTGTTTTTGATTTTGCATTGTTGTTATTTGTTTGAGACATGGTCTTGCTATGTAGCCCAGGCTGGCCTTGAACTCCTGATCTTCCTGCCTCAGCCTCCCAAGTGCTGGGATTACAAGCAAGCGCCACCACGCCCGACTTGTTTGCTCCATGTGGAAAATGAGCATAAACACCTTGTATGCGTGATAGGGTGATGAAATAAAATTGTACATCAGGAAAGAGTTTTTGTAAAACTGCTCTGCAAGTGTATAATATTATATGGAAATTACATTTCCTTAAAAATGTGCTGAGAGCTGGGCACAGCGACAGCCTCCTATGCTCCTAGTGCTATGGAGGCTGTGTTAGGAGGACTGGTGGAGCCCAGGATCTGGGGCCAGACTAGGCAACAAAGTAAGATTCTATCTCAAAAGAAAAAAAACAAGTGATGAGGATGTAGATTTAAAAAATTGTTTTATTTGATCTCTTTCCAGCTCTTCCAGGAATGATGCACCCAGAGAGTAGTGTCCTGGGCTCCAACTATAAGTACAGGCAAAATCCATTCACATACGATGTTAAGCGAGACGTGTACAATGAGGAGACTTTTCAACAGGAGCACAGGAGGAGAGCCCTTTCCTCCAGGAACGTGGATATTGACATCACCACCTTCAGACACCACGTCCAGTGCCGGTGCGTGCGTCCTATCATTCAGCTGCTGCCCAGCCAGGCAGGACAAAAAACAAAACAGAAAAACAACCTGGCTCCTTTGCGGCTTCTGTTTTCCTTCTCTAAATTTCAGTCACCAGAACCCTGTAGTTCAAAGTGTAATTTTTCTTCGGTTGTTTCTTGTGGTTTGTCTTGCAGCACCTTCTTGATTGTAAACCTTTTGGGCACTGCCTTAGCTTACTTTCTGGTATTTTGCTGTAACAAAGTTCCTGAGGCTAAGTGTCTTACAAAGTAAGTAAGGCCAGGCCTGCTGGTGCACACCTAGAATCCCAGCTACTCCAGAGGCAGAGATAGGAGGATTTGCCTGGGCAAAAGCATGAGCCCCTATCTGAAAAATAGCTAAAGCAAAAGGGGCTGGGAGCGTGGTTCAAATGGCACAGTGTTTAAAAATTTGAGGGCCTGAGTTCAAAACCCCAGTACTGCCAAAAAATATATATATATGTAAGAAATTTATTTGGCTCATGACTCTGGTGGTGCTGGTGTCCTTGTGGGGGCATCCGGGTTGTGTCACAACATGGCTGAGAAGTGGAAGGGGAGCCAGCTGCATCCAGAAGGGTCCAAGGCATGGAGAGACCTCACTTTATTACAACCTGCTCTTCTGTGCTAATCTAGCCCCACCTGAGCCAGAACCCCGGGGAGACAAAAGGAATCCATTCATGACAGTGGTGCTCCCTTAGCCTGAGCGCTTCCTGCTGGGCTCCCCCTCTGAAAGGTTTCACCACCTCCCAGCACCATCATACTGGGAACCAAGCTCCCAGCACAGGCACCTTTGGGAGACAAGCCACATCCAAACATAGTAGGCATAATGATGTTGGGTGCCCATAATATCTAGGGGTGATATTTAATAAATACATTGTTCAGTTACCGTTACCAGTGTCTTTACACAAAATAAGGCAGCAGTGGGGGATGAATTAATGACAGCAGAATAAGATCTTTCTAACCTCATAGTAACATCTTAGTCATCAACACAGAAGCCATCACCACCACCACCTCTGATACTGTGATCAGCTGGGCCCTGCAGTTCAGGGGCTCTTAACCTAAACCTTTCAGCAATCTGATACAATTAGAGGCCCACTTCTCGGAACAGTTTACTGTTTTTATTGTGGTAAAACATGTGTAACATCAAATTTGCTATTCTGACCATTTTTTAGTGTACAATTCAGCAGCATTATAGACACCACAATGTTATGCAATCATCCCCACTATTTATTTGCAAAACCTCTCATCACCTCAAACAGAAACTCTGTACTCATTAAGCAATCATTCCTCATTTTCCCTCCCCCCCGCCCCTGGTAACCTCTCTTCTACTTTCTTCAATCTGCCTGTTGTAGCTATCTGACTTAAGTAAACTCATATAGCATCTGTCTTTTCCATCAGCTTCTTTCACTTAACGTAGTTTTCAAGGTTCGTCCGTGTTGGAGACTATATCTGTACATTTCTGTTTCAATCCATGTGTTCGTATACATTTTATTTATCCATTCATTAATGGACCCTTGGGTTGTTTTTATCTTTTCATTATTGTGAATAATAATTGCTGTGAACATTGGTATGGATTTTTTTTTCTTTTGGTGAGACTTGAACTCAGGGCTTTGTGCTTGCAAAGCAACTGCTCTACCACTTGAGCTACATCTCCAGCCCATTTTGCTCTGGTTATGTTGGAGATGGGGTCTCTCAAACTATTTGCCTGGTCTGGCCTTGAACCTCCATCCTCCTGATCTCAGCCTCCGAAGGAGCCAGGATTACAGGCGTGAGCCACTGGCACCTGGCTTGGTATAGATGTTTGAATTCCTGTTTTCAATTCTTTTAGTTACATACCTAGGAGTAGAATCGCTGGTTATATGGAAACTCTATGTTTAACTCTTTTGTTTGCTTGTTTGTTTGGTTTGGTTTTTGTTGTTGTTGCTGTTTTTGTTTATTTTTAAAGACAGAGTCTGGCCAGCCCAGGCTGGCCTGGAACTTGCAGTCCTCCTGCCTTCGCCTCCCGCATGCTGGGATTGCAGGTGTGTACCTGCAATCTGAAACATTACGTTTCAGTTTTCGAGGAGCTGGCAAACTGTTTTCCACAGTGCCTGCACCTTTGCACATTCCCACCAGAAATGCATAGAGATTCCAATTTTTCATGTCCCCTCCAGTGTTTGTTTTTTTCCATTTTTTAAATTGCAGCCATCCTAGTAGGTATAAGCTATCTCATTGTGGGTTTTGTTTTTCTTTTGCATTTTCCTTGTGCCCGAAGATGCTGAGCAACTTTTCATGCACTCATTGGTCATTCGTATATCTTCTCTGGAGAAGCGTCTACTCACTTCCTTCATCCTCCTAAGCATCAGGTTATTTGTCTTTTCATTGTTGAGCTGCGGCAGTTCCTTAAATAGTCTCCATGTTGAACTCTTATCAGATAGATGATCAGAAAATGTTGTCTTCCATTCTTTAAGTTGTCTGTTCACTCTGTCAGTAGTGTCTTGTGATGCACAGAAGTTTTTAATTTAATGAAATCCAATTTATCTATTTTTATTGTTGTTGCCTGAACTTTGGGCATCATATTTAAGAAACTATTGTCAAGTTCAAAGATTGTGCTGTTTTCTTCTAAGAATTTTATACTTTTACCTCTTAAATGTAGGTCTGTGATTCATTGTTAGTTAGCTTCTATATATAGTATAAAGTAAAGGCCCAACTTCATCTTTTGTGGGTGGTTGTTCCATTTTACCACACAATTTGATGAAGAGACTGTATTGAAGGGTGTGGGCCAGATTTTTTTTTTTTTTTTTTTGGTAGCACTGGGGTTTGAACTCAGGGCCTCATGCTTGCTATGCAGTCGCTCTTACCACTCCTCCAGCCCTTTTTTTGTGATGGCTTTTTTTTGAAATAGGGTCTCATGAACTATTTGCCCAGGCTGGCTTCGAACCACCATGTTCAGGCTCTCTGCCTCCTAAGTAGCTAGGATTACAGATGTGAGCCACTGGCACCCGGATCCAGATCTTTATTTTTAATATTTAAAACAAATAGCATTGTAAAGAAAACCAATTATATTAAAATATAGTTATCAAAATATGAAAACTCCCCAAATTATATTAACGTGAGCCTAATAACTACCATAATTTCAAGGTAGCAGTGAATAGAAATAGTATTTTAAAATATCCATAGCAATTGTAATATGATAATATTTGTAATTTCTACTGTTTACAAAGTCAAGATCCACTGATTCGACTGTGCTTTATCGTTGGTATTCGTAATTGAAGGAAATGCTAAATTTTGGTTAGAGGTTAGTGAAAATAAAGATACATTTTCCTATCTAAGGTCACATGCACCCCCAAACTTTATCTCCAGGCCACTTGGACTGCCCACAAGCTTCAGGTCAAGGGTCCTTTGTAAGCTACAATGCCTGTTACTCAAGTGGTCCTCACTGACTACATTTACTGGTCCCTCTCCCACCCTGTTTTATCACTCATGTGATGACAGCATGTGGTGACAGTGAGGAAGGACCCTAGACGTCCCTTTCTCCCTGAGGCACTGTCCTCTGGCCACGTCCTGCCTTTTGCAAGTCATGTTCTTGGATGTTCCTCCTAGTTGTCAGCACTCTGATTTCCTCTCCTCCAGATTGGGAAAGAGGGTATGTGTCAAAATGGCATTCCTCTGTCTTTTTTGTTTTGTTTTGAGTTTTTTTTGTTTGGTGGTACTGGGGTTTGAACTCAAGGCCTCATGCTTGCTAGGCAGGTATTCTAACGCTTGAGCCACTCCACCAGCTCCAAAGATAGCATTTCTCCACGTTGGCTCGGTCTCTACAAAATGACAGTCTTTTCCTAACTTTACCCTCATCAACAAGTATCACAAAAGAAATTTCAACCTAACCTGCCCGCCTGCCCCAGCCTGGCCACCTGGACACTTAAACCTGACCTCTCCTCCTCCTTTACAGCTGTTCTTATTCCCGACCTCTGTTTTTATCTTTATCTTATTTATTTCATTTTTCATTTCCTTCTTTCTTTATTCCCTACTTCTGAAACACAGTTCCCTCCACTTCTGAGTTTTAGCCAGAGGTTGCAGGGCACAGTGGTTAGACCATGGTTCCGCTTAGTTTTGAAACCTAGTTCCACCCCTCCCAGCAGTGTGACCTTAGGAAAGCCACCTGAAGCAACTGTGCCTTAGTTTCCTCCTTTGTAAGATGGGCATGACGATAGCACCTAAGGTGATGGTGAAGATTAAAGAGTAAGTGTTTGTAAAGTGCCTAGGAAATAGGAAACAGCAGATAAGCAAGCTTTGGGTTTTTTTTTTAATTTCAGTAAATAAAATAATCTTTTAACTCCATCTCTTCCTTTGTGCAGACAAATCTCTTATCTCTTTCCTCACTTTCTTCCTCTCAGTTAGCAACTGTAAATATTCCCTTTCCTGTCACAATGTCCCCTCTACTTTCATATAACTACATTCCACACTTGTAAGATGCCTTGATCCAAACTCATGTGTAAACACTCATTCTGTCCCCACCTCCTGTGAGCTTCAAATTCCTTGTTCTAACTCCCTCCTGGATTCTTTTTTTTTTTTCTCTCCTTTTTTTCTTTGGTGGTACTGGGGTTTGAACTCAGGGCATTACGCTTGCTAGGCAGGCACTCTACCACTTGATCCACTCCTCTAGCTACCCTCTTCAGTTCTTTTAACTTTTAGATCCTCAGCACTTCATGTCCTTTTTGTTTTTGCCATGCCAAACAGCTTTGGTAACTTGGCAACAGGGTGGCTAACCTTTGACCAAGTGGCACATGAGAGGAGGGGAGATTGGACCAGGTGAAGGAAAAAATTGTCCCAGTACCATGCTCTGGGTTTGAAGCAAGTGCACAAAGATTGTGCTGTCCAACTGTGACTCTGTGTGTACCTGCCTCAAACCCAGTGACTCTCATCAGAGCAATGTGACCTTCCTTCCAAAACAATGGTCTTGCTCCTGGCTCCAGAGCTGAAGTTCATTTAACAGCTCTCAGTAGGAAGTGTGGAGGCAGCAGAGAGGGTAGAACACTGAACTAGGAATCAGAAGACCTGGCTTCTTGCCCTAGCTCTGTTCACACTTACTACTGTGACCTTGGCCAAGTCACATATACTTTATCCTTATCTGACCTTGAAGATAGCAAAGCTTATATTCATGAAAGTCAAATATACATGAGCACACACTTTATCACTGCACACACCAAAGCTGTATTTATTATTATAGTCAAATCCCAGGCATCTAACACACCTCATCTGTGAAAAAAATCCTCATATTCTGTCATTCAGCTCATGTTAAATGTAAATAGCAAAAGGTGATTTAAAACTGAATTAGTTTTACTGATTGATTGATGGTGATTCGTGCCACAGATGATGTAAAGGTTAAAGCAGCAACAGTGACATTTTGGTTTTGTTTTGAGATGGACTCTCACTACATTGCCCAGGCTGGTCTAAAACTTAGGGGCCAAAGTGATCGCCCTGCCTAATCCTCCCGTGTAGCTGGGACTGCAGGCATGAGCCAAACGCACCCAACTTTTAACCTTGATGTTTTGGAAGAGATGGCCTGTCCCTTGTAGAATATCTAGCGGTATCCCTGGCCTCTAGCCACTAGATACTATTCATGAACCAAAGCTGCTCCTGAGTTAAAGGTTGATAAAGCCTTTAAAATATATATATATATATGTATTTAAAATATATATTTAATATTTTTTAAAGTAAATTTATATTTTAAAATATGTTAATGGCTAACTCCTTAAGTACAGGACTCCATATTCTACAAATTTCTATATATCATAGGTCAAAGCCAGAGACTTAATGCTTGCTAAAACTTACTATATGGGAATGATGTACCTGTGTTACCTATTTTCTACTACCCTTCAATATCAAAAGAGAAAGTAATACACTTCATTTTCTTGTAGAAACTGGTAGATTCGATCTTTCCAAACATCTAATGAAAACACTGGTTGTATGAGTTCAAGGTCTTGCCATATACACAGCACCGGTTCTTAAGATGATTTTGCCCTCCAGGAACATTTTTCAGTGTCTGGAGATATTTTTGTCGGGGAAGGAAGGACTACTGACACCTAGTGGGCAGAAGCCAGGGATGTGGACAAACACCCTACGATCCACAAGGCAGCCCTGTAACAAAGAAGTCTTTGGTCAGGAAGTTGCAATGTTGATAGTGCTGATGAGAAATTTCGCTGTATGGGAACGAGGTTGAGTACTCACCTTTTCTTGGCTCTGTGGACATTCTTTTTGGAGAACCTAACCAAGTGTCTGCTCTTCTCTCTCACAGCTGCTCATGGCACAAGTTCCTAAGATGCGTGCTTACAATCTTTCCCTTCCTAGAATGGATGTGTTTGTACCGATTCAAGGACTGGCTTCTTGGAGACTTACTTGCTGGTATAAGTGTGGGCCTTGTGCAAGTTCCCCAAGGTAAGGAAGAGCTGAAGCCTTTTCACCCAAAGACAGTCCATTTAACTTTGTCCACTCCCGCAAAGGGAACAAGTATTTGTGCCAGATGGACAGAAGAGAAAATGTGAATTGCGTTCACATCACTGTCAATTACTTGTTCCCTCAACTGTCAGATTTCAAACCCCTCCGGGATGGTTCCAAAAGACTTAGTTTAGACACCTGAACACTTTCCAGAATATGTGCAGCGTCTACTCTTGGTCATTTTTTGTTTTATTAGTCATTTCATACTCATGACCACAATAGATCTCAGATGCACTGGCTTTACTCAGAAAGGTGAGCATTAGGAAACGTGGCATGCCAATGTCTCTCCAGCAGCTGACACAGCAGTCCAGGGGCCGTTCTCTTGCCTTGCAATTGCCAGTTCAGATGTAAGACACCAAGGTCACACAAATAGGAGTGGGAGCTATCTGAGCTTAAGAAACCTCATTTCCAAATGGGAGTCAAAGATTGTAACAGTCCCCTAAGTATTGCTTCCAGGACCCCACAAAGGACAAGCCAAGTTATAAACATCTGTACATCTGGAGAAGACCAAAGCTAGGGCTACCTACTAGATGTTATCCTTCATTCACAATCCTCTCAGTCCAGATGGAGTGTACTAATTGGGCTCATTTTTATAATAAGCAACTCTGCTTGGAAGCACAGTTGACATTCTATTGTTATCAGGTCTCCTGGGAAACAGGGAAGAAAGTTAACTTGACACCAAATTCATCCACAGAGAAGAGAATGGGTTTTATCACTCTTTTTCTTTCAGTAGTTCAGACTTCCCCTACATAATCTATTTTTCTTTTCCCCGATGCTGGGGGTCAAACCTAGGGCCTCATGCATGCTAAGGAAACAGTCTGCCAGTGAGCTACTCCCCAGGACCCCCAAAGTCTTTAAACACCTCCATTTGTCTTCTGGGGCTCACCTATAGGGTAGAAACTTGTGACTGTGCAGGTTGTACAAAACATGAGAGGCCAAGTGGAGGCTGAATTCCTGCTCAGGCCTAGGGGTGTCAATCTATTCTCCATCACCGTAGTTCTGATGGAATCATACAGCGAGCAGATTCTGTAAGCTGTCTTCTTTCATTCAGTATTGTATCTTGATCTTCATGCAAATTATAGGTATCAGTAGTTTGTTTCTTCTTATTGCTGAGGACATCTCGTCTAATCCGTTTTCTATATTATATTTCACAATAATAATGGCATTGATTAAATTACCAAAATTATTACTAGATTAATAATAATAATAAAAAAGTAAGACAGTGTGATGGACTAGGGGTGTGGCCAAGTGGTAAAGCTCTTGCCTAGCAAGTGTGAGGCCCTGAGCTCAATCCCCAGTACCAACAGCAACAAAAGACAGTGGTATTGCATGGATAGACAATTAGGCCAATGGAACAGAGAAGAGAGTGCCATGTTATCAGATGTATCACTATAGAGATAGGCTTTTTTTTTGGCAATACTGGGGTTTGAACTCAGGGTCTTGCACTTGCTAGGCAGGCGCTCTACCACTTGAGCCACTCCACCAGCCAGAGATAGGCTTTTTAATGTTAAATGTGAGGTAACTGTATACAAACATGGAAAAGCGTTTTATGTCCCTATCTCATGCCGCACACAAAAATCTACTTGTGACAGATTAAAGACCTAAATGTGAAAGGTAAAACAATATCTTTGTGAATAACATAGGAGGATATCTTCATGATCTTGAGGTCAAAAGGATTTATTAAGTAAGACACACAAAGCAAAAGAAAGACCCGAAGTAAAAGACTGATAGATACAGTAAGTAAAATTTAAGAACTTCTGTCTATTCAAAGCCATTATAGGGCTGGCGGAGTCGGAGTGACTCATGTGGCAGAGTGTCTGCCTAGCAAGTGTAATTCCTTAAGTTCAAACCCCAGTACCAACACCACCAACAAAATTTAAAGCCACTATAAAAATTAAAAAGGTTATTTGTAATACATATACATAACAAACAGGTGATTTATTTGTAATAAAGATGCACTCCTCCTAAAACCTCGCGAAGAAACAACTAGCTGAGGCTACTGGGCATTGTTAGTACGAAATAGAGTGGAAATTTACAATCTGACAGCGTCAGGAGCTAGCACAGATGTGAACAATGGGAGCTGTCCCACACGGTGGTAGGAGTGAAAATTGTACAACCATTTGACAAACAGTTTGGCTTTGTCTAGTCAATCCCCCAGAAGTTATAATTAAGGGTTTATAATTTCAAGGAACTTGTACATCTGTGCAGCGGTAGACATGCAAGAATATTCGTAGAAACATTGCTCACCATAGCCCAAACTGGAAGCAAAGGCAGGACACTATGCAACTCTGGGGGCAAACAGTGGTCAAATGGCAACCTTGGACCCCAATGACTTTTTAGCTATAGTTCCAGACTTTGATGAGGCCCAACTGCCACTTGTAAAAGGGTGTGCCCTTTTAATAAATTTCTTATTTTGTGCAAGCTAATTTGAGCATGCTTTCTAGTACCTGAAACCATTAGAATCTTGTTTGCTTAAGAAAAAATGTGGAGTATGAACCTATAGATTATGACAGATTTAAGAGGTACAGCAACCAAAGAGGGTGCAGTGGGTCATGCCTGTAATCCTAGCTACTCCAGAGATGGAGGTTGGGAGGATCGAGGTTTGAGGTCAGCCTGGGCAAAAAGTTAGTGAGACCCTGATTTAATCTATGAAAAGCTGAGTGTGGTAGTACAGGCCTGTCATCCCAGCTATGCAGCAAGCATAAATAAAAGTATTGCAGTCCAGACCAGCCTGGGCCCTACTGGAAAAAATGAGTAAAAACTAGGGCATAGCTCAAAACGGTAGAGTGCCTGCCTAGCAAGTGCAACGGGGCTCTGAGTTCAAGCCCCGCTGAGGCTGGAAGATGTGTCCAGGGTCATTCACTTGGCTGTCAATGGAACTCAGAAGACCCACCTGCACACTCACTCTGGTGTTTGCTGACAGGCTGAGCTCTCTCCTTTGTGAGCCTCTTAATAGGCTACTTAGTAGCTTCACAGTGGCAGCTGGTGGAGCTAATAGCACAAGTAGGCTCAATACAAAATGAAAATACAAGACTCCTAGGTCAGAACTTATTCAGATTTTTTTTTTTTTTGGTGGGACTGGGGTTTGAACTCAGGGCATTGCCCTTGCAAAGATGTGGGATGGAGCCACATCTCCAACCCACTTTGCTCTGGTTGTTTTGGAGATGGGGTCTCACTGACTATTTGCCCAGGTTGGCCTCTATCCTCCTGATCTCAGCCTCCCAAGTAGCTAGGATTATAGGCATGAGCCACTAGCACCCAGCTGCTTTAGTCATTTTTCAAATAGGGTCTTGTGTTTATGCCCAGCCAGCCTGGACTGCAATCCTCCTATTTGTGCTTCCAGTGTAGCTGAGAGGACAGGTGCACACTGTTTCAATCAACTTACTGGATGAGATGGAGTCTTGCTAACTTTTTGCCCAGGCAGCCCTCCAACCACAATCTTCTCGATTTTTACCTCCTGCGTACCTAGGATTACAGGCATGAGTCATTGCTCCCAGCCAGAATTTTAAAATAGTGACAGCAAAGCATTAAACCAAGTGTGAGACCCTTCTAAGTCCAGGTCTGTGTGATTGCACAGGTCAGACACTTTTGAAGCCAATTCTGGCAGCCTGTGACCTGAATTAGAGAGCTAGCCAAAGCGCAATTGGGATGGAAGTCATAGGGTTTTTTTTGTTTGTTTTGTCTTCTTTTGCAACCTCATCTCAGAAGAGGCATTCCATTATTTTTGTTGTATCCTTGCTGTTCCCTAGCAAGTTCCTAGGTCTGTGCCACACTGCAGGCATGAATACCAGGTGACCAAAATGGGTCATCTTTGAGACCTCCTGTCACAACAACCATTTAGGGGATAATCAGGGATATTTGAAAATTGAGTGGATGATGATGGTGTTGACATTGAGTCATCATTCAGGGACACACACTGAGATATATGCAGATGTGATGATGGAGGGTGGAGCGGAGTGGGGCACAGAGGGGACATGGGTGACCGTTGTTAAGACGGAGGGTGAGCACGAAGCAGTTCATTATATGCACTCTACTTTGAATGTGCTTGACGTTTCCCAGTGAGAAGCCTTGCTTGTGTAAGGCAATAAACCAGTTCACCGGAGTCATAACTAAATTTGGATGAGTGTATTGCTAGGATGTAAGTTGGAGGATGGCCCTCAAGGCAGGAAGAATGGGCTTGAAACTCCAAAAGGATGGCACCCTATATTTAATCCATTTGCTTAAGAATTTCCAAATTCATATGGTGCATCTTAGAAAAGAAATGTGTTGAAGAAATCCTCAGAAGAGATTGTAGTCGTTGGCATATGGAAGACACAAAAGAGAAAAAGAAAAACCGTATGTCAACTCAGAGGCAAGTCAGTGAGTCTTGCCTTGTTCCTTACCTCTGTCTTCAGTCTCCTACCAGATTAGGGATGAGGATGGGGCTGCTTATGAGATGTTGGAATCAGGAATCTTATTCTTTCCCTTGTTCAGCATTATGACCTTCAGTGAAAGGCATTTCAGACTATGAGAAAGAACCAAGATGTAAAAGCACACGGTAAAATAGCAAGAGAAGGCCAGGCATGGTGGTACATCCCTATAATCCCAGCTAATCAGGAGGTAGAAGAAGGAGGTTTACAAGTTTGAAGCCACCCTAGTGGGACCTGCCCCCAAAACAAAATATAAGCCTGGCACTAGTGGCTCACATCTATAATCCTAGATACTTGGGAGGCTGAGATCAGAAGGATCCCAGTTCCAGGTCAGCCTAGGGGAAAAAACAAACAAACAAACTTGTGAGACCCCCATCTCAAAGGAAAAAAGCCAGGCATGGCAGCAGACACCTGTCATTCCCAGCAATAGCAGGCAGTGTAAAATAGGGGGATTGTGGTCCAGGTCAGCCTGGGCAAAAAGAAAGGCCCTATCTCCGAAATAACCATAGCAAAAAGAGCTAGCTGGAGGTGTGGCTCACATGGTAGAGTGAGTGCCTAGCATATTCAGAGGCTCTGAGTTCAGACTCAGCACACACACACACACACAACACACACAACACACACACACACACACACACACACACACGGAGGGAGTGGAGGGGGAAGAAACCAGGAAGTAAAGTAGATGATAAAAGGTACTAATTAAGAGCTGTATGTCAGTGATATAATTACCACCCTCAGGCAGCTGTATGCATTGACCATTTTTTTTCTAAATATTCTTTACAGTTTTTGCTTAAGGTGACTTAGAAAAGCTGAGCTACCTTTCCTGAGGTGACCTGTCTTTCTCTGCAGGCCTGACTCTGAGCTTGCTGACAAGGCAACTGATCCCTCCTCTCAATGTCACTTATGCGGCCTTCTGTTCCTCAGTGATTTACGTCATTTTTGGATCATGCCATCAAATGTCCATTGGTGAGTTCAGTCCTGGCACCACAGGAGGTCGGTGAAGTCTCTGCCTCAGTCATTCACTCACTGCTAAGGAACCCGGGTCAGTCAGCTTTCTGTCACTGTGACAAATCCACTTAAAGGTCTATTTTGGCTGGTAGTTCTGGAGGTTCCAGTCCATGGTCATTGGATCCACCGTTTCTAGGCCTGTAGCGAGGCAGAACATCAAGGGAGCCAGGAAGGAGAGAAAGACAGACGGAGAGAGACACAAGGAGGGAGAAAAAGGAATCAGGGACAAGACATGCCCTTGAGGGGCACAACTCAATTACCTACTTCTAATTAGGCCACACCTCGTAATGCTTCCACCACTCCAGTAGCACCGCCAGCTGGAGACATTGAAGATCTGACCCTGACAGAACCTGACGTAAAACCATCTTTAAGATACGAAGGACAAAGAAGAACATTCTACCTTCTTGGCTACTGATAAGATTACAGAGATAAATATTTGTTCTGTCGTGTCATTGTTAATGTCACCACCAGAAAAATAGGGCAGAAAGATGTTTGTCAGGGAATTAAAGAGCACAGGTACCTTCCTGGGTGAAATTTCTACATGTTGGAGCCAATCTGCTCTCAACCCAGAAAACCCAGAAATGATTTTTCTCCAATACTCCTTCATCATTTGAACCTATAATTACCAAACTCCATGGACTAACTTATAATACAGCTTGTCAGCTTATTAATTTATAATGAGAAAATGCTGTCCAGTGGTAATCACAACACTTAAGTCTATGGATAAGCAGTTCCTTCCCTGAGTCAAAAGTCCATCTACTAATTTTTTTTCCCCCGTTGGCACTGGAGTTTTGAACTTAGGGCCTTATACTTGCTAGGCAGGCAGTCTTGCAGCTTGAGCTACTCTGTCAACCCTTTTCTGTGATGGGTTTTTTCGAGATAGGGTCTCTCACACTATTTGCTTGGGCTGGGTTTGAACCTCGATCCTCCTGCTCTCTGCCTCTTGAGTAGTGAGGATTATACGCGGGAGCTACCAGTCCCTGGCTATCTACTAATTTAAAAGTAGAATGGTGACCACAGGGAGCAGCAGAGTTAAAGGTCCTGTCAGGCCATCAGTGCGCTTACATAATCTCGATGAAACTGCACAGAAGTCAAATCGTAAAATGTCCCAATAGTCCCTCGCCGGCTGCCTCTTCCTGGGCTTCCCCACACAAAGCATTTTCATGCAGGCACTCTTTCTCCAGGTGTGTTGCATACTCAGTCTGGTCACTGTCCCACGTTCTAGATGTACCTCGTTACTCTGCCTTTTTTTTTAAGGACAATACTGTGTACGTTACTCAAAAACACCGTGTGTCGATTTTGCATTCGAACACCAAGAGAATGGCTTTATTCCCATGTTCCTAAGTTTCGGGGCCTCACAGTCAGGCTCGAATGCTGCTAGAGCCCTGTTTCTCATAAGCAGCTTTAAAGGTAAATTTGCTTTTGTTCCTATTTGTGTACATGTCAGCATGAGGAGTCAATGAAGTACCTTTTTTTTTTTTTTTTTAATTTATGTTCCTTTTTTTTCTTTCTGTTTTTCTAGTGGTATGGAGTTTGAACTCAAGGTCTCACACCTGCTAGGCAGGTGCTCTTCACTTGAGCCCCTCCCCCAGCCATGTTTTATGCTGGGTATTTGCAAGATAGGGTCTCGGGAACTATTTGCCTGGGCTGGCTTTGAACCTCAATCCTCCTGATCTCTGCCTTCCGAGCGGCTAGGATTATAGGCGTGAGGCAGCATGCCCGGTTCACCATCATCTTCTTGTTAACTTTGGCTAAGTGTGGGCACAGTGGCTGAGTCTGATAGCCCTTTCCAGTCAGTTTCTCTTTGACTCCCACACATCCATGGCAGGATGTCCACATGCCATGGTGCACAGGCTAACACCTAAACTCAATATGTGGAGTCACAGTCCCCTTCCCTGCTTTCTTTCCTCTGGCTGCTATTCAGTAAGACAAGTTCTTCAGATCAAAGACGACATCAAATCAGACAACGCTTTGCTTTTGTCAGTATCTATCAGTTTGTCTAGACCCTGAAACCTCCCTTTCTGCCTGACTTTCTTCCACAGGTCCCTTCTTCCTTGTGAGTGCTCTGATGATCAACGTCCTAAAGGAGAGGCCATTCAACAGTGGTCACCTGATCCTAGGAACTTTTCTCAAGGATGACTTTTCTGCTCCCTCCTTCTTTGTCAACTACAACAGATCCTTAAGCACCGTGGCAACCACAACTCTTCTGACTGGGATTATCCAGGTAGGATCTGAGCCTCTGAACCCCTGAAAAAGAATTAAACGAAGGGGCCGTAAGTGGACCTCTTCCTTTAATTACTTCTGTGATCCATTGGGACATTCCTGGAACATCAGAGATTTATTTTGGGAGAACGTGCTGGGAGTATGCACGGGCTGTCTCCGCAGAGATGAAATGTCTCCCTCCTCAGGAATCACCCGCCGCCCATTCAGAATAAGATGGTGAACTTTTCTCTAAAAGAGAGATAGATGGGTCCTGGGACCCAGAGCTCCACTCCTGTGTTTACCTGTTGAAATTTATACTCTTTCAATATAGAATAGTGCTCTGTATTTGGGGTAAATAGTCATTAGAGTCAGACCTGGAATCCCTTTTCTCAATGACAAGGGAACAATAGTGTGAATGACTCATTAAAATCTCAAACTGTATTTTGGCAAAGTCTAATTTCCTGAATTGGAACTCAGGTCACATCTCCCAGCTTTATTTCTCTTTCTTCTCAACTAACCCACTCTCTAGCATCTCCCTGGGGCTGAGAAGGATTTATTGGGAGTTTACAAAGGCAGGCTACCACAGTGGGCAGCTTAAGTCCTGACACTCATGAGCTGTGTGAGCTTTGGGATATTATTTTACCTCTGTGGGCCTCAGTTTCCTATGTATAAGATGGGAATAATATTTGTTTTGCAAGGTTCTTGTGAGGATTAAGTGAGAAAATGCCAGAGCCTATGCATAGGCTTTAACATCAAGGAGTTAGAATCACAAGGCACAGTAGTGCATGCGTCTGGTCCCAGGAGCTAGGGATGAAACCTGAGTTTTAGGCACACCAGGTCCAAACTCCTGAGATTCCACATCCTCACCCCATTATCATCTCCCAAACAAAGAGATAATAATGGTGAAAGGTTGAGAAAGAAGATTTATTATGGCTAGGACATGCTGAGGGAAGAGCCATCTTCAGCCATCCTCAAGGCACAGACATGAGTTTTGCCTTTAAATAGCCAAAGAACTGGGGACAAGGGGAGAGAGGTATGAGTAATTATTAAGCAGCCCTGGTCACAGGTGTGTTCTGGTGGGTGACAACCTCAGTCCTTGCTTTGGGAGGGGTTCTGGAGTTGTTAGTGCTGTCATCACTGGTCAGGATAAAAAGTCACTGCTGCCTGACTGGTGGGCTTTCCAGCAGATCTCTGCTGTTTCTTTCCTTGAGGGCAGTTTTTTCCATCCCTGCTTGTAACACCTTATCCATAAATCCTGTCTTTCTTGATTCCAAGGTGGCTGCAAGGTAAATGATTAGAACAAAGAACATAGATACAAAATGGAGACAGGAATGCCAAGATTTTCCTCCCACTTTTCGTTAATTCCTGGGCCCAAGTAAGGAGTCAGTGGTTTTCAACAAAAGCAGTTGGCTTTTTCTTTTCTTTTCTTTCTTTTTTTTTTTTTTTCCTGTGGGACTTGGGTTTGAACTCAGGGTTTTGTGCTTACAAAGCAGGCATTTTACTGCTTGAGACATACATCCAGTCCATTTTCCTCTGGTGATTTTTTGGAGATGGGGTCTTGGGAACTATTTGCCTGGGCTGGCCTTGAACTGTAATCCTCCCAGTGTTAGCCTTCCAAGTAGCTAGGATTACAGGTGTGAGTCACCGGCGCAGAAGCAGTTATTAAGCACCTATTACAGAGAGACTGAGACAGGAGGATTACTTGAGCACAGGATTTCCAGGCCAGCCTGGGTAGCATAGAGAGACTGTAAAAACAAACAAATAAGTAAATAAATAAATAAGAGGACAGAGTCAAAGTACTTAAAGGAATGCTAGCTATGTACTCCCCAAATTTGTAGATACAAGCCTCCAGACTTAAGAGGCTAAGAAAACTTTAAACAGAAAAACCCATGCTGAAATAAAATATAGTCAAACTTTTGAAATTAAAGGCAAAGGTTAAAAAAAAAAGAGTTTGAAAACAGGAAGAGAAATAGCATTTTACCTATGGGGGAAGTTGATTCAAACAATAGCAAATTTCTTGTCAGAAAGAAAAGAACTGTCAGTGCAAACTCCTATGCCGGGTGAAAATACCTTTCAGGCATGCAGAGGGAATTGAGATGAAGAAAACAGGGACTTCCCCACCAGCAGATTGACACTAGAAGAACAACTAAAGGAAAGGAATGATAAAAGACTGAGAACTTGGGGGAAGAAAGAAGGAAGAGTGGAAAGGGTAAAAACATGGCTAAATACGAAGGACTTGCCTTGTGCTCTTGGGTTTTTGAAACTGACAATTGAGGCAAAATTATAACTGTCTGATGTGTTCCAAAATCAATATAGAGGAAATATTTAAAACAATTCTAGTAGAAACAGACAGGAAGGGAGGTAGGGCTTCTTTGCTTCACTCAAACCAGTAAAATGTCAACACCATAGACTGCATATGTAATATACACGTGTAATGTCATTCCTGAGCAGCCACTAAAAAGCTGCACAAAGAGTTATATTCAAAAATATTATAAATAAGTCAAAGTGAATTCTAAAAAATATTTTTTAAGGAGCCCACAGGCGTCAGAAAAAAAAAAAGGTGATGGAAAAATAGAAAATAAAAAGAAAAATAGCAGACTTGAGCCAAACTTATCATTACATTAAAGATAGAGATTGGATTTTTTTAAATTACTGTTTATAAGAAACTAACATCAAAACAATGATAGAGGCAGATCGAAAGTAAACGAATGGAAAAATATGTCACGCAAACAGTCAAATGAAAGTAGGAATGACTACCATAATAGGCTTCAGAAAACATCATCAGAGGCAGTGACGAAAGGGTCAGTCTACCTTCTCACTATGTGAAGAAATGGGGTGTGCTAATGAACTCGATGGTGCTAATCATTTTACAACATATATGTATATCAAATCATGTTGTACACTTAAAATATACGCAGTTTTATTTGTTGATTATAACTCAAGTTGAAAAATACCTGGAAGACATAGCAATCCTAAGTATGTATGCACCAAACAATAGAGCTACAAAATATGTGAAGAAAGCTGGTAGCACTGAAAGGAGAAATAGTCAAATCCGCAATTAGAGCTGGAGACTTCACTCCTCTCTCAAGAACAGAAAACTAGACAGAACATCAGCAGGCAATAAAAGAATCCGACAATACCATAAACCAGCAGAACTAAAGAGACATTTGTAAAACGCTCCATCAGTAACCGCAGAACAGACATTCTTCTCAATGACCCACAGACACCCCAGGATACCAATACCTGGGCCCTAAAACAAAGCTTCATAAACTTAAAAGAATTTAAATTAAAAAGAATATTATCTGGCCACAGCAGAATCAAACTAGAACTTAATAACTAAATGTTAACAGGAAAATCTCCAAGTAGTTGGACAGTGAACAGCATACTTCTAAATAATCCATGAGTCAGAGAGGAAGTCTCAAGAGAAATTTTAAAAATACATTGAAGTAGATGAAAAATTTTTATCAAAATTTGTGGGACACAGCTACGGCAGTGCTGGAAGGGGGAATAAAATGCATACAGTAAAATAAAAGAAAACTCTTGACTTCATAATCTAAGCTCCAACTCCAGATCCTAGAAAAAGAAGAACAAATTAAACCAAAAATAAACAGAAGGAAAAAGATAAGACTACAAATCAGTGAAATTAAAAATAAGAGAGTTTAGTCTGGGCCCAGAGGCTGTAATCTCAACTAGTCAGGAGGTGTTTTTCAAAATTTATTTTAAAAACATTTTGATTAGCATAGTTGTACATGGGGTTTCATTGTGACATTTCCATATGTGTTTACAATGTAACTTGGTTACATTCACCCCCTCCATCATTCTCATCCCCTCCCTTCTTCTTAAAACAATTGCAACAGGTCTCATTGTTTTATTTTTATATGAGTATAAAAATTTCATCTCTATTCGCCCTTCTTTGCTCTCTCCATTCACTCTCCCCCTCCCCAGTATCTGTCCCCAAACAGGACCTGTTTGTGTCCTAATCTTAAACTATACAAAATAATATTCATGAATGTGAATTCGGTGGCAAAAGAACCAGTGTCATAAAAGAATCATCTTTAGTTTGACTGGAAGTTTCTGGAAAAGAAACAACTATCTCCTGAGCGCCCCCCGCCCCCACCGCTGTTTCATTCATTATTTCAATATTTAGTGCAGGCCAACCCTGACAGATTAACACTGGCTGTCTAGAGTATGATGCTGACACAGAATTCAATGCCACCTCACAGAGGGCAGAGGAGAGCTCTTTGGTGCTGGCAGGTACTTGTCGTTTATGATGAGAAGAAAGGACGGCAGGAAGCATAAGTGATTAGTATTTCTGTCCTCACTGTTTTCAGACTCAAGTGAGGTGTTTTTCACGTGGTATGTAATGTAATCCAGACAAAACCCTGTCGGTAGTATTATTTACATCTCAGAGGAGAAACTGAGGCTCAGGGAGTTAGTGAACTCATCCACACTCACACAGCCTGGAGCAAAAGCCCCAAGATTGAACCAGGTCTTTGACCCCAGAATCCATGCTCTCACCACATCTCTTTGAAGGGGAGAACTTTAGGTGAGCTCTTGAAAGAGGTGATGGGCGTGGATTGGCAGAGTGGCAGGAGAGAGGGGCTTGTGTGTCAGCACAGAAGTGGCACTCAGCCAGCACCACAGACCACGGGAAGCAGAAGGGCCTGACTTGACTGTGCACAGTAAGACACTAGGGGAGACACGGCATGGCAGGTTGAAAGCTTTGAACAAAATCATTTAAAATGAAAGGATCTGTTATTCCAAGTCTGTTTTTGGAGAGCTTCTAGAGCAGTAGAGGATGAAGTGTAGCCTTCTAGACTTCCTTTTTGGTCTTTCCCCTTCTTGGTCTTTGCTGCCCCGTATCAGTTTTTTGTTTTGTTTGTTTGAGACAAGGGCTTGCTATGTGACCCAAGCTGGTCTCGAACTCCTGATTCTCCTGCCTCAACCTCCTGAATGCTGGAATTACATATGTGTGCTGTGATGCTAGGCTCTGTGCCAGTTTTGTTAACCTGTCCCTTTATGGAGATTGGGGACTCACCCTCTATCTACCGATTTTCTAATTGTATTTTTTATTATAAAAGTGGACATTTATATTGTAAAAATGTCTCAAAGAGTAAAAACGTGTATAAATTAGAAAATGTTAATAGTTTGGTGTATCTAATTTTGTTACATATGTATATGTATATGTAACAACCTGTATTTAAAATACAGGTCGAGTATCCCTGATCTGAAATGCTTGAGTCCAGAAGTGTTTAGGATTCTGGATTTTGCAATATTTGCATATACATAATGAGATTATCTTCAGAATTGAATTTAAGTCTAAACACAAAATTCATTTGTTCTATATACACCTTATTTGCATAGACTGAAGATAATTTTATAACTATTTTGCACTTTGACTGCAATGAAGTCAGGTGTAGGATCACATTGGCCCACTACAAATGTTGGATTTTGGAGCATTTTGACTTTCAGATTTTCAGGTTAGGAATGCTTAACCTGTATTATATTTACTGATGTATTCAGCATTGTATGAATTCTATATGATTTTATAGAGGTTATACTAATTTTATGTGACTTTATAGGATTCATATAATCCTAGAAACATCAATAAATCCATTTTAATCATTCCGAGTAAAGACAATAGTCAAAGGACCAGAGGTTTGAGCTGGATCCCCAGTTTTGTCTTTTTCTCTGGGCAAAGCTGCCTTCCTCAAGGGCTTTCAGGTCTCTAAGAGCAAAGGCTCCTCCCTTCTGATCACCCTGTCACTGCTTCCTCCATGTCAGCCTGGAGGGCAGTAAATTCTCAGGCACTGACCTAAGAGCTGACAGTGTCCAGGAGCAAAGAAGCAAACAGGGTGGTCTCATTGTTGTTGGAGCTTCTGAGTTGAACATGCAAGGACCCATCCCATCTCAGCTATTTCAGTTCATTGGGGAAACTGAGTCAAAAGAGCTCCCAAAGAGGCCTTCCTTACTTTTTTCTGGAAACTTCCTCCTTTCTGAGCAGGTGCAGGGCCCTTGGAGAGCCCCATTGGTGCTGTCACCAGAGGAAGGGAGAAGACAAGGAGGTCCCCTCCACAAATCAGAGAAAGTTAAGATCCACCATGAAAAGCATTTCAAGGGATCTCAGAAAAAGGAGAATCTCAAAAGGCAGAAGCTTAGCAAGGATTTATTTTAGCAAAACAGGATAAAGAAGGAAAGGGGGTGAGAGAGAGAGACAAAGAAAGAAGAAGAATGAAGACTCAAAATGGGTTTTTCTTATCTGGGGTTTTTGTACTTCTCCAGTTAGGGAATGCTGGGGAGTTACATGTGGTCAAATCTTGTACCAACCCCTAATCACTGGAGTCAGTGTGTTCTGGGGCATGTCTGTTACCTAAAACATGGCCAGTGGGTGCTGTTTATTATTCAGAACCATAGAGTTGTGTCTAGGCTGACCCAAAGCACAGGGACAAGAACCAGGTGGGTTCCATGCTTCCCCTTGCCAGGCATGCCCTCCACTCTTCTGTATCTCCCCATCCAGAGGGGGAGGTAGAGGCAGGTAGCCCCTCCGTTTCTCTGTTCTTGCGGTGGGAGCTTATTGCTCTGGGTTTTCAGCCTTTACTTCCTGGCTTTAACTTGAGGCTGGCCCTTTTAATGTTTATTACTTGTAATTTCCCTGTCAGCTCATCTATCTATCCTACCTCAGTGCTGAAACTGCAGTTTTAGGCCCCAGGCTCAAACTTCAGGGGTTTCACGTGTGGGGTCCAGCCACTTGCCCCAATATGCCAAATAAAGAGGTAAGGCAGAAAAAGGAGGTTAATTCTGTGACCCATATGCTACAGAAAGACGCAAAACAGCTGCTTCTGCCCATCTTTGGGGTACAGATGTGAGCTGAAGGTTTACACAGAGCAAGCACTGGGGGCAGAAGAGAAGGTGGATGTCAGGATTAAACAGTCCCAAGTCACAGTGTGGCCAGGTTGAACATTATCTCAGTCCTGGTTTGGGGACAGGCTCAGAGAAGCTGTCATTGCTGTCATCACTTGAAGACAGCGGTCTGGATAAGCAGGTCATTGCTGCCTGACGGTGGTCTGCCCCACAGAGGCTCTGCTGTCCCTTTCCTGGGGGGGGCAGTGTCCTCTTTGTAAAGATGCTATTGACCAGGCCTGTCCCGCCTGGATTGCAAGGTGAATGGCTTAGAGCAGAGAGGACACGAAATGGAGGCAGATCCCTGCACGCTTGTCTCTGCTTTTACAAAGCAGTTTCTGAGTCCCTGCGGCGGTTTGATGGCACCCGCGCTTTGCGTCCCCGCAGCTGTTCATGGGGATGCTGGGGGTGGGCTTCGTAGCCACCTACCTCCCGGAGGCCGCCGTCCGCGCCTACCTGGCCGCAGCCGCTCTGCACATCATGCTGTCGCAGCTGACCTGCATCTTCGGGGTCGTGATTAGCTTCCACGCAGGTCCCATCGCCTTCTTCTATGTGAGTAATCAGCGCGGCGCATGCCCAGTCGCAGCGTCTCGCCCCTGGCCTCCAAAGCCAAGTGGACCGCGCGGAGGGCTCTGCCATTCCCCAGAGATGCAGACGACAGGCACCTCTGTCCAGGGGCTCTCAGAAATAACTTCATCTTTTGTAGACTTAGGGTCTTTGTCCAAGCCAAGTGGAGCATGCGCTCAGTCACAAGAACCATTTCAGCCGAGCCTTGTAAACTAACAAGCTGGACGTTAAAATTTGGTCTTGAAGTTACTGTTCCCAGCATCATTTTCCCCTTTATGTGCCTCATAGCAGATAGGTATTCTGAAACATGTAAAGAATTAAAAAAAAAAAAAAAAAAAGCTGAAGAGCTCCTGAGGGCAAAAATGAAAAAGAAGCCCAGTTGAAGAACAGATATGGAGCTGGGCATGTAGTTCACACCTGTAATCCTAGCTACTCAGGAGGCAGAGATCAGGAGGATCAAGGTTTGAAGCCAGTCCAGGGAAATAGTTTGCAAGACCCTATCTCAAAAACATCCTTCACAAAAAATGGCTAGTGGAGTGGCTGAAGGTGTAGGCACAGAGTTCAAAACCCAGTGTTGCAAAAAAGAACAGAATTGGTCTGAGAAAATTAGTAGTGAGCAGGCTGATAGATAAAACTCCTAGGGGCTTTGTGTTACACTGAAACATATAAAGCATATTTTCTTCTTATTGGACATTTTAATATCTCTTTTTCAACTTCAAAAAAAAAAACCTATCAGGCCCACATGCCTACTCTCCCGTTTTTTTTTTTTTTTTTTTTTTTGGATTTTTTTGTAGTACTAGAGTTTGAACTCAGGACCTTGCACCTGCTGGGCAAAAGCCACTAGAGCACTCCCAGCCCATTTTGCTTTAGTTATTTTTTGAATCGGGTCTTGCATTTATGCCCTAGTTGATCTGGACCACCTCCTACTTAACGCTGGGATGACAGGCACACACCCAGCCTTTACTGGTTGAAATGGGGTCTTGCAAACTTTTTGCCTGGGCTGGCAACCTTCCTGATTTCTATACTCATCCCCCCAGTAGCTGAGATTACAGGTGTGAGCCACTGTGCCTTGTCCTCACAGTTCTAGTAATGTTCATGAAAACCTTAGCAACTCTGCCTAGGGACTTCTTATTTAATTAATCTAGATAGACTTTAAAAGACTTCTTTTTAAACCAATCTTGTCTAGGTTTAGGCAGTTTTAAGCCTCGTATTTTTTCTTCCAGAACATAATTAACTACTGCATAGGTCTCCCGAGAGCAAACTCCACCAGCATCCTGCTGTTTCTAACTGCTGTGGTCGCCCTAAGGATCAACAAGTGCATCCGAATCTCCTTCAACCGCTACCCCATCGAGTTCCCCATGGAGCTGTTCCTGGTACGCATTTCCATGCCCCCATTTCACGGTCCTGATCATTGTAAATATCTACTTTTAAAAATTAAATTAAAAAGCAGCCAGGAGCCGGTGGCTCACACCTGTAATCCTAGCTACTCGGGAGGCAGAAATCAGGAGGATCAAGGTTTGAGGCCAGCCCAGGAAATAGTTTGAGAGACCCTATTCTAGAAAAAAATCCAACACACACACAAAAAAAAAGGGTTGATGGAGAGGCCCAAGTGGTAAAGCACCTGCCTAGCAAGTGTGAGATCCTGAGTTCAAACCCCAGTACCACCAAAAAAACAACAAAAAATTTTTAAAGCAAAAAGCAAGTAACCTAGGAAGGCAAAGGTTAATAGGAGAGTGTAAAAATAAGAACACTTAAAAAACTTATGTTGAATTGTGTCAAAGCTGAATTGAATAAATGAATGCTATTGTTCATAAATGACTTTCTTTTTTTAATCTTTTTACTCAGGGATGGTCGACAAAAGTTGTATATATGTACTGCATGCAGTGTGAGTTTTGGTGTACCATAATCAATCTTATCTTTTTTTAGGGGGAAGGGTGAGACAGTGTCTCTTTCTGTTGCCTAAACTGGCCTCAAGCCCTTGAACCCTCCTACCTCTGCCTCCCACGTGCTGAGATTACAGACACGCCCACCAGGCCCAGCTAGTATGGTTGTGTGTGTGAGAGAACATTTATGATCCGCTGTCTTGCCCTTCCCTGGTGGCTCACTGTTAGTTATGTCTGACCCATGTCACTAGTTAAGTAGCAGTTAAGGGCTCACTGCTGTCAAATGACAATTCGCAAATAACATTTCTCTTTTGCAGTTATAATGAATTATTGCTACAGTGATAAGGACATTTTCATAACTAGCTCAGGTCTTCAGCTCAGCACTGTGGAGCTTATGGGTGTTCATGCAAATTATTGTTCCCTTAAGCAGTGTTACCCATGTGCCCCTGCATTTCCCAGAAGCCTTCGCACGGGCCTTTTTCTGCTAATCACAGCAAGCCACCTACTGTCATGCTCAGCGTCTGGCTGAGCTCCTGGAGTAGGTTCTGGGAAAGACTTATGCTTTGGGAAGGAAACGGTGATAAAGCAATTCTGTAACTCATATTTTAAAACTCAGCATTGAAGTCTCTTGTCTCTGGTTTATTTTAGGTTTTTTTTTGGCAGTACTGGGATTTGAACAGGGCCTCATGCTTGCTAGGCAGGTGCTCTTCCACTTAAACCACTCCGCCAGCCCTTGTTTTGTGTTGGGTATTTTTGAAATAGGGTCTTACAAACTATTTGCCCAGGCTGGCCTTGAACCTTGATCCTGCTGATCTCTGCTTCCTGAGTAGCTAGGATTACAGGTGTGCATCAATGCACCTGGCTTTGCCTCTGATTTGATGCAAGATCTTTATGCCAAGTATCAGCTGCCAGGTTGTCTTATTTTCCCTGTAGTTGAAAATCAAAGACGAAAGACAGAATTGCCATTTTTAGAAGTGAATGAAGGGGGGGGGTTTGACATAATTGCTTCGCTAGAGACTTTTTTTGTGCTATCAATTGCTACTCCATATGAACAAGGGTTAGTCATATGATTCTCACTTAATATACCCCAGCAGCCCTTGAAAGGCTATGTATATTATTACATATACCTGGACTTAAAGACTTTTACAACTGGGACCTTGTTACAGCCATCATCATCGAGTCATCAAAGTTGATGGAGAGAGAGAAGCCAGTGGCACCCGGTTGTGTCCCAGACCCAGGCTGCAGTTGTCCTGGGCACAATGTCAAAAGGAGCCAAGAGGATGGAAACACCAGGGAGGACCCCTGAACTGGCCATGCCTCTCTCTCCACGTTGATGCACAGGAAGTGCCACGGGCTTCATTTCCTGTCCTGCCAAAGGCTGGGAGCACCTCTGCTTCCGGGAGCACCTCTGCTTCCGGAAGCAATGCACAATATTGACCAATCGTTTGCTTTTTTTTTAACCACCTGCAGATTCTTGGCTTCACTGTGCTTTCAAACAAGATAAGCATGGCCACCGAAACCAGCAGGACACTCATTGAGATGATCCCCTACAGGTCAGTGAGTCCCCAAGCCACTCCCCACACAGTCTGATTGGGATTCTCTACTCCCAATGTCTGACCACAGCCAAGTTCACTTTAGATCACAGAGCCCAGGAATGGAGGAGGGCTAGGACAGCTCTGTGCTTCTCTGGTCACCTTCTGCCTCTCTTTTCAGACTTGAGCCAATCCTCTTGCCCAAGAAATGTGCTGTTTACACTGAACTACAGAGAAACTCACTTCTTTTTTTTTTTGACAGTATTGGGGCTTAAACTCAGGGCACCCTTGCTAAGCACACACTCAAACACTTGCACCACACCCCCAGCTCTTTCACCCCCCCCAGATCTTTCTTTCTTTTTGTTTGGATTCAGTTATTTTTGAGATATAGTCACACAATTTTTACCTGCGGGTGGCCTCAGACGATGATCCGCCTACCTACACCTCATGCATAGCTGGGATTACAAGCACATGCAATGTTTTTTTGTTGAGGAGTCTTGCTAACTTTTTGCCAAGACTTGCCTTGAACCAGAAACCTCTTGATCTTTGCCTCCAGGGTAGCTGGGATTACAGGCATGAGCAACACACCTGGTGGAGCCCCCCCCCCTTTTTTTTTATAGGCATTACAGGTCTTCTCAGACTCCATCCCTATCTGCTTTAACTCTCCAGGGTGGGACAAGAGATGCCTCAGTTTCCCCAGCCTCTCTTATGGGGCTCTGTGCTCAGGAGAGGAGTGTTCCTTCTGCTTTCACCCACTTAAGCTGACTCTGTGTCACTGAACAACATTATTTTCTTAATCTTGGTAGAAGTCAGTCTTCAAAAATCTGGCATGTGGAGTTCTTAAGGTCTCACAATTACTTTGCATGATCACCCTACCAGTGACTATGGGACATGCTCTGCTCTTGCTTCTGCTAGAAAGTTGTAATTTTTTTAACCTTGATCAGATGAATTTCATTATCTAAGAAAGGAACAGGGCTGCAGTTTCTTTTTCTTTTTCCAGTACTGGGGTTTGAACTCAGGGCCTTCACCTCGAGCCACTCCTCCAGCCTTTTTTTGTATTGGGTATTTTCAAGATAGGGTCTCGAGAACTATTTGCCCCAGCTGGCTTCAAACCACGATCCTCCTGATCTCTGCCTCCTGAGTAGCTGGGATTACAGGCATGAGCTTCGGTGCCTGGCCGGGCTACAGTTTGTTGACTCACAGGCTGACCTGTGAAGAGCACTGCTCGTCTCCTCGTGTTGGACGATGGAAAGTCCTGCAGAGCTGAGGCACTGGCTGAACTCCAGGGTAACCAATGTAGGCGTGGAACACAACCAAATTGAACCAGTCTTACTTATATCCTGCCGGTTCTCAGTGAAATCCGACAATGGCTTAATCCACTAGAAATGCTATTCAACTAAGAAATGTGAGCAGATGCCACCTGGGCGCCAGGGAATGCAAAGATGAGCAAGGCGTGGTCCCTGCACCACCCCACCCCCAAAAAAAGAACAATGGTGGGTTGACACTTTTCAGGATTATTTTATTTCATTTGCTCCTGGCTACTACAAGGTAGGTATTACCTTCTTTTCATGGCTGAGGAAACAAAGGCTTACCAAGCTTAACACAGCTGGACCTGCCAGCTTCTATTAATTCTGAGGTCTGTGCCACTTACAGTGACTATACTACACTTACTTGGTATGCTTCTGTTATCAATGACTTAAAAAACACACCACAAGATCTACACATAAGGATAAATAAATAAGCATTTCAAAAATCTAATTTTAAGCCTAGCTTTGACTATTCTCTTCCTGGCTGGCCTTAAACTCATGACCCTCCTGCCTCAGCCTCCAAAATGCTGGGATTATAGGTGTGTACCATCACTTCCCATTTGAAGATTCTTTTCTTTCTTTCTTTTTTTTTTTTTGGCAGTTCTGGGGTTTGAACTCAGGGCATCACACTTGTTAGGCAGACACTACCACTTGAGCCACTCTGCCAGCCCTTGAACATTCTTTTCTTGAACCCTTTTTTCATCTATCAAGGGTTGCCAGGGACTAGTAAAATTGGACAGTTTGAGTTGGTACCTGCCTTGTGTGTGTCTCCTTGAACCTAATTTGCTAACAAGAATTGAGTGTTACAGAGAACAATAGGAAGAAAAAATAGTAGTTTGTGGTGTTATGCTAAATATTCAGACATTGCTAACATGGGCTTGGGTGATGAACTCTGTTTACTGTGTATCTCTTTGGGACAGGCACATTCCTAGCCAACTTCTTAAAAGGACAAAAAGAATGATTTTAACCAAAACTGAAATATCTATCTCTGGGCATTCAGTTACATTCCTATTTAGCTCATTACCTGGAAATGCCAAGGTGCCTGTAAGTTACAAGGTACAAGTAGGGAGTGAAAATAGACACAGCTCAATGGTAAAGAAAAATATTAAATTAGGAATTTAAAACTGGGCGTGGTGCACTGATGTAATCAGGAAGATGACAGGAGCATTGTGAGTCTACGGCCAGCCTAGGCTACCTAGCAAGACCCTGTCTCAAAAAACCAAAAATAGGCTGGGGGCGTGGCCTAAGTGGTAGAGCATCTGCTTGGCAAGATGAGGCCCTGAGTTCAAATCCTAAAACCAAACTATATATAGTTATTCGTGCACATAATAATATGAGAAAAGGGAATATACAAAGAGGTGCTGTTTTGAGGTGCTAAAAGCAGTTTCTTCCTATTTAAACAAGAATGAAATTTAAAATGCATGAACTCATAAGAAATTTTAATTACATAAGCTACTATTTGCTTTTCAGAAAAACATACCACAACATTTCCTGAAATAATATTCCCAAATATATCAACATGCATGTTCATTTTGCTGAATTTGGAGCTTTACACAGTTTTTCAGAATTAAACCAACTATTGAGTCATACATAATTATGTCTTTGATTAAATGACAAAAGCTAATCCAAAGAATAAGCATTTCAAGTAGCAAACCTTATGTAAAACACTTAAACAGAGCCTTTTTTCTACTTGGGAATTAATCTAGAGAAATGGAAACAAACTGTACCTGTGTTCCCAAATTAGACTAAAGGATTATGCTAGGGTAGAGCTACTAAAAACCACTTCCTTCAAATCACCAAGATTCCTTTTCACTCTGTCAACGCTATAATTGAATGTTAAGTCCTGTCTGAACGCTAACCAAATGTCCTGCGTCCTGTGACAAACCCCACTGGGCTACAGCATGTTATCAGTTATACACTGATTTGCTAAAAACTTTTGTTTTTACATTCGTAAGAAATAATTGGCTGAGCCGGTTTTTTTCCTTGTAGTATCTGTGTCTGGTTTTGGTCCTGAAGTATGTCAGTGTTCTAGAAGGATTATGGGAAGAATCTCCTGTCCTTCAGTTTCTGGAAGTTTCTATAAAATTGGCATTATTTCTTCCTTAGATAGTTGGGAGAACCCACCAGTGAAGCCTTGTGGGCTTAGAGAGCTCACCGTGGAAGGTTGGATTTTAGCATGTTGTCTGTGAAATGAAACTGTCATGACATCATTGTCTTTGATTCAGGTTATCTGTTTCTCTTGAGACTTATTTCGGTTGTTTTTGGTATTTAAATAATTGTATAAGTTATCAAATATATTAGCATAAAATTATTTTATTATAGTCTCTTTTTTTTTTTTCTTTTTGAGTCAAGTCTTGCTATATAGCTCAGGCTGGCCTCAAACTCACTATCCTTCTGCCTCAGTCTCCTGAATGCTGGTATTATCAGCGTGTACTACCATACCTGCCTTATAATCTTTCCTTACTATCTACAATTCAGTCTTTAAAAGTTAAATTCAGTTAATTTTAGTTTATTCTCAGCATCATTCAACCATTGTCACTATGTAATTTTTTTTTTTTGGCAGTACTGGGGTTTGAACTCAGGGCCTACACCTCAAGCCACTCCACCAGCCCTTTTTGTGTTGGGTATTTTTTGAGATAGGGTCTCTTGAACAGTTTCCCTGGGCTGGCCTCAAACTGCAGTCCTTCTGATCTCTGCCTCCTGAGTAGCTAGGATTAAGGCGTGAGCCACCGGCACCCAGCTGCCACTACCTAAATTTTAAACCATTTACCAGCCCAAAGAAACCCCATATCCAACTGCTTCTCCTCAGAGCCCTCGACCAGCACCCATCTACCTTCTCTGCTTGGATTTCCCTAGTCTGGACGCTTCACATAAATGGCCCTTTGTGTGTGGCTTTTTTCACTTAACCTAATGCTTTCAAGGTCCATCCACGTTGTAGCATGTATTCCTTTATGACATGTAACATTCCTATTGATGGCTAAGTAATATTCCATTATATGGATCCATAGCTGTTGTTTTCTGATTCATCAGTTGTTGTATAATATTTCAGTTCTTTCTACCTTTCAGCTGTTGTGAATTGTGCTGCTATGAATATTCAGGTTTGCATTTTTGTTGGAGCACCTGTTCAGATCTTTGGGGTACACATAGGAATAGAATTGATAGTCATATGGAAATTCTGTGCTTAATTCACTGAGGAACTGCCAAACTGTTTCCAAAAACAGCTGCACAATTTTGCATCCTACCCACAATGCACAAGAATTGTGATGTCTCTACATCCACAATAACACTTACACTTAACTTTCTTTTTCTTTTTTTTTTTTTTTTTTTTTTTGCAGTACTGGGGTTTGAACTCAGGGACTACACCTTCAGTCACTCCACCAGTCCTTTTTTGTGATGGGTTTTTTGAGATAGGGTCTCTTGAACTTTTTGCCCAGGCTTCGAACCGCTATCCTCTTGACCTCTGCCTCCTGAGTAGCTAGGATTACAGGCATGAACCACCGGTGCCTGGCACTGAGTTCTGTTTCTCCTGGCGTTATAGCTATCCTAGTAAATATCTCACTCTGGTTTAATTTGCATTTCCCTAGTGGCTAATATGTGCAGATCTTTTCAGTGCTTACTAGCCATTTCTGTATCTTCTAATTAAGCTTTTGCCTATTTTTAATTGGGTTGCTTGTCTTTTTGTTATTGAGCTGTAGTGGCTCTTTGTATGTGCTGGACCTGAAAGCCTTATATGATTTGTAAGTATTATCTTCCATTCCATCATGGTCTTTTCACTTTATTGAGAGACTTTGAAACAAAAGTTTTCCGTTTTGATGAAGTCCAATTTATTTTGTCTTCTGTTGTTGAACTTCTGGTATTGATTTGCTAAGAAACCCCTGTACCTTATTACATGTCAGTGTTTGATCCTTTGAGTTGATTATCATGGATGTTGTGCGGTAGGACCCAGCTTCATTCTTTTGCATGTGAATATCTTGCTGTCTGAGCACCATTTGGTGAAGAGACAGTTCTTTCCTGATTATTTAAAAAAAAACACTTAGGGGTCAGGCATGGTGGCTCATACCAGCAATCCCAATTACTCAGGAGGAACACAGATTGAGGCCAGGGCTGGGAAAAAAATGAGTGAGACCGTTTCTCAACAAAAATGTTGGTTGTGGTGGCACATGACTGTTGTCGCAGCTATACAGGCGGCTTAAGTAGGAGGGTCACAGTCCCAACTGATCTGGGCAAAAAATGTGAGACCCTATCTGAAAAATGACTAGAAACTGAAAGGACTGGGGACACGGCTCAAGTGTAGAGCACCTGCCTAGCAAGCACAGGCCCTGAATTCAAACCCAGCAGTGGAAAAAAAATCACCTGGACACAAACGTTTGGGTTTATTTCTGAGCTCTCAATCCTATTCCATATGGCAGCCTTGGTTCCTGAGGTCTGTAGCAAGTTTTGAATTCTGGAAGTCAAGTCCTCCTGCTCTGTGCTTGTTCAAGATTGCTTTGACAAAGGGTATCTTACAATTCCATGTGAATTTTAGAGTTGCTTCTTCAGTTCTGCAAGAAGGGCCAATGGGAGGTTACTGGGATTGCACTGAGGCTGCAGATTACTTCCAGTAAGATTACTTATTGCCAAATACATCAAATATGTTTAAATTTATGAATATATGAAATTTCTAAGATGATAAGCTCATTTTTTCACCCTTAGAAAACACAAGGGAAGCAACTCATTATTTTTAAAATTATTAAGTCAGGCATTTTAGCTCTAAGAATTGCTCTTTGGGGTATCCAAATGGTCAATAACAAGACATTTTATTTTGTAGAAGTATTCCAGTCAATAAAGAGAGAAGGAATGTAGAATTCAAATATCACCATTAAGGAATATTGTCTGCTTACATCACAAAAAGAGACTGTCACTGTGTGCCTCCTAACTAATGAAGTATTTTTTCATAAAAAAAAAAAAATGACATCTGGCTAAACCTGAAGGGCTAATTACAGTAAATATAAGGAATGTGTTAATGGCAACACAAGAGACAATTAGCAAAAATCTAGACTGGCAAACACAACAGGACTGATAACCAGGTTTCTATAACAAAAATATTGCAAGGAAGAAAAAAAAAAAAAACAGAACGGGAGGATCGAGGTTCAAAGAAGCTGGGGAAGAACGTTCATAAAACCGCCCTCTCCCATCTCAACCAATAAAAGCTGGGTGTGGTGGCTTGCACCTGTCATCCCAGCTATGCAGGGAGCGTAAATAGGAGCACAAAGTCTAGGTCAGCCTGGGCATAAATGCAAGACTGCATTTTGAAAACGAAAAACGGCTGGAGGTGTGGCTCAAGTGGTAGAGTGCCAAGCACAAGGTCCTGAGTTCAAATCCCAGTAGGACCAAACAAATAAACAACCAGGTAGGGGAGGGGACATCAGGCCTGCCCAGTTGGAGGAGGATGGAGTGACAGAGGTGCCACCCAAGAACTCCTGCTCCCCAGCAATGACTCCACTCTTTCATTCCAGCTTCACGTTTCCTATGACCCCGGACTTCAGCATTCTCCCCCAAATCATTTTCCAAGCCATCTCCTTGTCTTTGGTGAGCTCCTTCCTGCTCATATTTACGGGCAAGAAGATTGCCAGGATCCATAACTACAAGGTCAATTCCAACCAGGTGAGAGTCCATTACTGCTTCTGCCTACGTCTTTGTGCTCTAAGCTGAGCCTCCCGCCAACCTGAACGATGGATGCTTCTTTAGTCAGAGTCACTTGACCATAATTTGGACTGTAATCACTCATGGATCTCTGAGAGGTGAGGGCTATTTAACTTGAATAAGTAGCAGGAGTATTATCTCCCTAGCACAGATATGGTGCTGAGAGGCAGGGAGATGACAGATGATGACATGATGTTGAGCTAGTAGAATCCCTCTCTTCTCAGTTTTATCTTTCTTTTCATCACATCCATGAAAAGAAACACTGTGGAATATCGTATCAAAACCAGGCTATGAATAAATGTGATAATTACATTGGCCTCTTTGTCTTTTGGGCCTTTGTTTTTATTTTTTAGGAAAGAGCTCCACCTACTCGGGGTTTGGTCCTTTCCCTAGAACTCAAGAGGGGAATATGGAGGCAAGATTGTCCCCATTTGACTTTTAGGATAGTGAAGAAGGAAGGGAGAAAAATAGCCCTGTGATCCTTCCTGTTATTCTCAGTTGGTGATCAGGAAGAAAGTGTCTCATTTTTCACCTTGGAAAAGGTGTTCTTATGATCGATAGCTAAAATAAAGATGCAGCTTAATCTAGAAAATTGGATTGGCCATCCTTTTGTTCTTGCTCAAAAATATTTCAGTCTATTGTTTAAAGTGATGTAAATGGCCTTAACTTCACACTCACAAAATAAACAGTGTACCTTTAGCTCGAAATTAAATTAGCGTTCTTCAACAAAAAGTGGGCTTAAAGTGTGTGCCGTTTCTTTGCAGGATTTAATAGCCATCGGCCTTTGCAATGTGGTCAGCTCATTTTTCAGATCTTGTGTGTTCACCAGCGCCATTGCCAGGACTATCATCCAAGACAAATCTGGAGGAAGACAGCAGGTGTGTTGAAGAAGAGTTTGATCTCTGATGTATAGGTAGGCAGCGAGCTAGCTAGATAATCTGTGTTGATTCATGTGTTTACTCACAGAAATAGATTTTGATGTCAAGCATAACATTGATGGGGAAGACCACTGGAAAGAATTTGGGTTCTATACTTGCCTTAAATTTTGCTCAGATTTTGTCTTAAGAGTTATTGGTCCCTGGCATCATGGTTCATGTTTATAATCCCAGCAATGAGGGTGGTGGAGGCAGGAGGATCACAGTCAGAGGCTGACCCTATCTAAAAACAAACACTGGAGGTGTGACTCAAAGTGGTAAAGCATTTGCCTAGCAAGGGCGAGGCTCTGAGTTCAAATTCCAGTACCTCCAAAAAAAAGTTATTGGGTAGAACTTGAAAGTCACTTTAGATTAACACTGGGATATGTAAGCGGTTTCCACGTTAGCCCATGGAAGCCCATTTCTCATGGAATATACTGAGGAACAGTGACATCTCAGGTAAATGTCCCATCCACTATTACTTTTTTCCCTATGAGGAGATGTGTTCTCATACTGAATCTGAGAAGGCAGCATTACGGCAACTCTCCTCACCCTGGCATCAAACTAAAAGTTTTTCCGGCTCCCTGAAAGAGCAAGCATGGCAGGGGCTTTCCTGAGAGGGGGACAGGTGTTCGTCTAGGACAGCCCGGGGACCTCAGGACCATTCCACCTTTGCGTAAGAGAAAATAACCCAGGTCAGAGTCTCTTCAAGTATTCCGAATTAAATATCTAAGTGTCTAGTAAACTGAATACAGAGGTAAGGGAGGATGGTGACAGGGAAGACCCAAAGGCAAACTATCTAATTGCAGGCCTGTGGTTTTCTAAGACCAGTGTGTTTTGAACTGACCAGATAGAAGTCATGACACAATACCACAGGAGGCATTCCATTTCTGCTCTGTGACTTGACAAAATGCCAGAGTTACAGAGCTGAAACTTGGGCAAATCCAGGGAACGAGTCAGGGTTCAAGATGGCAGAGAAATAGTGGCAAGAGGTCAAAGATAAGCTCATGCCATAGAAGCAGAGTGACAAGGCAAAGCCATGGTTAGAAACTGTTGTGTCAGAAGAATGGCCGCTACATTTTAATGGGGAAAGAGAAAGTGTCCATAGGCAAATCTAAGGTGAAAACCAGGGAAAGTCAGAAAGAAGGTTAGGCATGGTGAGAGGGCAGGGTGTGGGCCAGTGCGTCCTACCTTCCCATGCAGACGGAGCTGTGTGGGCAGAGCTGCTGCCCCCGCCACAGGCCTTTTCCACTCTGCTGCACAGAAAGGAGGTGTGCGGGCCGTGTTAAAGGAAGGACTTATACAAGCATGCAGAACTTTGCACTCAAAACAAAAGGGTTTTATATAAGAGGAAATGGAATTGGCAGTTCCAGAGATCAGACCTACTAACTCTACGACACACTTCGTTTATTCAGAATGTAAGTGTAGCACAAATTTGGAGAGCTAAGATGAACCACTGGAAAAACAAAATCACAGTGCAAGGAAAACTGAGTGCAGAATGGGCCCGATCAACCAAAAGCACCATAAATTTTGGAAGAAAGAGAATGAAGGAGAAAGTGGGACCTTTGCAGGGTTCTGAATTGGGGTTAGGGTGCATACAGGTGGAAGGGGGTGGAAGGGACTCAGGTCAGCCTCAGAGTTGTCCTACAAGCAGGATGCTGTGCTGTGCGAGGTGGATCCAGAGGAAGAACAGCTTTGCAGGCCACGCTCACTGACTTAGGAAACAGAAAGGCCAGTTTTTGGGGTGGGAGTGCCTCAGCAGACAAGGACGGAATTGCCAGCATCTGAACTTGTTCCTCTGCCACATTAGCCATGGGACAAAGGGTCTGCCTCAAAGGTGGCCGATTGCCCTTTCTGTTTTCTGCTATACCAGTAACACCTCTCATTGCAAGGCACCGACCCTCCATGGGGAGGCCTGTCTCTTCCTGGAGGTGCTGATAGGCCCAGGGCAAATTGCTGGCTCAGGCAGGGGACGCGCTAGCCGGGCCTGCACACTGGAGCTTCCCAGACTCCACTGTGATTCTAACCTGGATGGGAAAGGCCTCTAAAACTCACCCATCCCACAGCAGGGGTGTTCCCTTCAGCCCTCTCTCCAAGGCTTTTGATCCATTCTGGTGAGAGCACCCCCACTTCTTCAAAGTTCCTCAGGACTCCAGGAAATTGAAGTAGAGGGTGGGCTCTGAACCTCTCCCAAGTGACCTGCCACAAGGGGTCATTTTATTTTTACTTTTTATCTGGCATTAATTCAAACTGAGGACATGTGTCTGGATTTCACTTTATTATTTCCCTGTTTAGAAAGAGCCCTTTTCCCTCCACTGGCTGCAGCAACAAGCACAACGTATTGGCCCTTCCAGCCACAGGCTCACCTGAGCCACAGGCAGGCCTGGCCGAGGCAGAGGCAGAAGAGAGGAGAGGAGCCCAAGGCCTGTGACCAGTGGGCTGTCCTAAATGAGTTAAAAAGAGAGAAATGTGTTGTGCTCTTTTTTTTTGGTGTACTGGGGTTTAAACTCAGGGTTTTGTGCTTTCAAAGCAGGTGCTCTACCCCTTGAGCCAGTCTATTTTGCTCTGGTTATTTTGGAGAGCGAGTCTTACAAACTATTTGCCCAGGCTGGCCTTGAATCTCAGCCTCCCAAGTAGCTAGGATTATAGGCCTGAGCCACAGCACCTGGCTTGTTGTGTACTTTTATAGAAAGCAAATGGAGCAGAGGAGAGAGCCTACATTTTGGAGTCAGGTAGGCAGGGAGGTGGAAACTGGACTCTGTGCTCCTGGATGTGTGTTATCTTAGGAAAATTACTTTTGTTCTTTGAGGTTCTGGCCCTTGTCTGAAATGGGGATAAAAACAACCTTTCAGTTGTGAGAATTAAATTGTTAATAGTGTCCACCAGTGACTAGCACTTAAGAGATGTTAAAAAAAAAAATCATAGCTTCAGCTGGGTGCAATGGGACATGCCTGTAATCCCAGCACTCAGAAAGCTGAACAAGGAGAATCATGATTTGGAGACCAGCCCGGACTACATAGAAGTGCAAGGCCACATAGCAACACTTGTTCTCAGAAAACAAAGAAAGAAAGCTTAGATTCTACTTCAGTCTCCAGTGCCCAGGTGTGTGCGTGTGTGCATGTGTGCGTGTGTGCATGTGTGCGTGTGTGCGTGTGTGTTCAGCAATCTGCTGTCCCACTCCATGCAGCCTGCTGTGTATGTATGGAGCAATGGGCATCTCAGGTCTACGTGGTGGTGGCTGGAGCTGTGGAACTCCCAATGCCTTGGACACCAGAGAGGCGGTGCTATCAGTTTTCATCCAAGAAAACCTGGAAAGGGGGAAGAAAACCAGAGCAGAAAAGAAAAACAGGCATAAGATGTAAACCGCTAGTGCTTGCTGCCTGTAGACCCGTCCAGGCCCAGAGATGGAGATTCTGAGAGCCACTAAGCATCTTCCTGGGTCACAATGCCATCACAGTCTGTCCTTTGTCTCCAAAGCCCAGTCCTTTTGAGTGTACCACCAAGGAGGCACAGGGTTACAGGCAGGGATTCCCAACCCTCTCTGAACTGCTAACTTTTTGGTATCCAGGATCCCATTTGTACTAGGTTTCATACAACTTATTTTGCTGTCTGCCTGTTTTAAAAATCGTAAGAAAAAGTAAAAGAATTTTGGACAAAAGAAGTGATAGAAAAGAAAAGTTCTGATACACTTTCCTGTGATAATCAAAGCAGTTCTTCCTTTCTTTCTTCCTTTTTCTGTCTTTCTTTCTCTCTCTCTTTCTGTCTTTCTTCCCTTTTCCTTCCTGTCTTTCCGTCCTTCTCTCCCTTTCTCTCTCTTCTTTTCTTTTTTCTCCACAGTGTATGAAGTGCTCACCCTTCGAGCTTTCTGAGTTTCCCTAAGAGAGGTTGGTTTTCCAAATCCTCCTTCCTACACTGCTCTCCTGCAGTCTGGCCTTTCCATGTTGGGGAGCTCACTCCAGCTGCAGATGAGCCAGGGACAGGGGAGAAGGAACAGGGACGCCGATTGCTGTGTTGCTTCTGTGCTCTGCATGGACATGGCACACAGCAACAAGAAACAAAGAGAAAAATTAGAGAGCTACACGTTCTGGTACACTTCTGTAATCGGGCTTAGCAGGAAGCAGAGATAGGAGGATTACAGTCTGAGGCCAGCCCAGGCAAAAGCATGGGACCTTATCTGGTAAAATAACCCAAAGCAAAAAGTGGCGGCGTGTGGCTCAGGTGGTAGAGCACTGGCCTAGGTGGAGGCCCTGAGTTCAGTCCTCAGTTTACAAAGAGAGACAGACAGAGAGAGAGAGTGACAGAGACAGAGTTTTGGGGACTCCCTCACTTCTTACTTGTATATGCTCTTGTTTTGGTTTGTGGTGACAGTTTTACTCCCATTACAATGGAAAATGACACTGCTTTATATGTCAATTTTATTACTAGGGGTTTAAAAAGCAGAAATTTGCCACTAGAGGATAGGACAGCTCAAGACTGTGTCCAGAGGCCTTGGGGTTTTAAGGGAGACTGTGTTTCACTGCTCACCGAGCGACACCGAGCCCAGTGTCATCAGCTGGCTGGGATTGGCTCCGGGGCTGCTCTATACAGCCTTGACTCCTGTCTTTTTCCGATTGCTCTGTAGAAGAGAAACTCAAGCAAGAGCATGGGAAGTTACTATATTGTAGTTTTAGAGATGAAACCCCACTGAAGCTGGCAGGTGAGAAGTCGCCCAAGCTCCCAGCAAAAGAAGGATGGGTGGGATCCTAACTGACACTTAGAAGTATGATGGTTAGGATTTGAGGGCTGGGGATCAACTAGGGATTTTCTAGAATGTGCAAGGATTGTGAAAGTTTTGAAGGAATTCAAGTCACATATTAGGAGACTTTTGGTTCATAGCACAGAGCTCTGGCAACAAGGATTCAAATACTTGGGAAAATTTGGAACTTTTTAGGCCATAGTCAGTCAACAAACATTTGTTGAGTACCCGTTATGTGTTTAGCCCTTGGATAGGCCCCTAAACTGTCAGTTCAACCAAAAATGTACTTATGCTGAACCCAACTCCTTTTAAGAAAAAAATGCTTCTCACCAAGCCTCAGACCTCGGGGACAGACAGGGACCAAAACTGTCCTGATGGTTTCTCTCCAACCGGCTCTGTCTCCTCAGTTTGCATCTCTGGTAGGCGCAGGTGTGATGCTGCTGCTTATGGTGAAAGTGGGAAGCTTTTTCTACGAGCTGCCTAACGTAAGTAGAACCGAGAAGCAACCACGTCGGGTGAGATAGGTGTCCGGGGTGTCCCTTGGTGGGGCATCTCTGTGCAGAAGCACACTCAGCTTGTCCCCGGAGGGTGTCTCAGTCTAGCTCTTGTCCTTTTCTTTTAAAATAATAGCATCTACATCACAGGGGGGTTAAATAAGATAACATGGGTTTGTGTCTATTTATATGTAATATGTATGTATGTATATATATAACATGTTAGCACTAGGCTAAAAGTAAGTACTCAAGAAACATCACTACCATCATTCTCAATCTTCTTTCATTACTTAAGCTAGAAAGTAATTTTCAATGAAAAATGATCAAAACAGACCTCAGATGCCAGGCCCCCATCACCAGCACAGGCTTGGAAGCTCACTGTGTGTTTGCACCATCTGTTTCCAGAAGGCCTTGTTCTGCCTTCTCTGCTTGAACTCAATCCTCCTCCTCCATCCCTGTGTTGCCACGCTGACTCCTGGTTAGTCCACTAGACGGGCAGTTCTAAAAAGTTGAGTTCTAAGTTTGTGTTCAACCAGGATGAATGTGTCCTTCCTTCCCTTGGGGTGAGATGTCACCTGACACTAGCGATGCCAGCTGTTCATTACTGACTGTAACCAGTTCTCAGTCATAATCCAGATCCATGCTCAGTGAGCAACACTTTAATTTTCTTCATGTTCTCTTGAGCCAATTCTGTAAAGTATTTTGGAAGGTGGGAGACCGTTTCTTTTCCGGTGTAACAGCTTGGGTACACACTGAAGTGGCGGTTCCTGAAGCTGGAATGGTTGGAAATATTTTCCCCATCTTTCTCAACACTTCCCTTCCACCGGGCGACCACCAGGTTTCAGTGGGTTTCGGCAGGACCACACGGTTGCCCCGGTCTTCTGCTCTTGTGATTCAGGAATCTTGGAGCCCAGGCAGGGCATCTATGCAAGAAGGGTGCGATTAATAAACCTTCGTTTAACACGAAAGCTGTTCTCTGCTTCCCAACAGCTCCAGGACTCAGTATAGCACCTTTGATGCCACAACTCTTGAAGTCTATTTTAGGAGATTCACTCCCTGATCAATTTTGAGCAGTGATATATTTTTCTTTGGAGATAGAAGTAACAGAATAAAAAAAAATCCAAACAAATAAAAAACTGTCAGGGTTCACTGAAGGGTAGTGGTAGAAGCAGCTGGCTTTTGGCTAGTCACATGATATAACATTATTTTTACAGCATCGAGTTAACTCATTTCTAGGTGAGAAGATGTGAATACAATCTGATCAACAGAATATCTGAATTTCTGTAATTACTGAATTACTTAAATTATGTCTGACTTTTCCTTCCTTGAAGCACTGCAGATAGCGTGTTGTAAAATCCTTATTGGAGTTACGAATGCAGCGTCCTGGCTAGGATCCAACTAGTTAGAAAAAGGCCAACACAGACAATGATAAGCATGAATAAATAATATACCAGTTTGCATGAAAAAATATATAGAATATACCAAACTGTTAATATGGCTGTCTCTTTGATGATGGAATTACATAGGAGTATAATTCTTTAATATATTTTTATTTTATTTTTTTTGCCATGCTGGGGATTGAACCCAAGGCCTCACACATGCTCAGCAAGCACTCTACCACTGAGCTACATCCCCAGCCCAAGAGCGTAACTCTTTTATATACAATGAGCACGTTTTACCTTAATTTTTCAGAAAGGTAAAAATTTTGTTGCATATATAGCCAGGCAATGGTGGCTCATGCCTGTAATCCCAGCTACTCAGGAGGCAGAGATCGGAGGATTGAGGTTCGAAACCAGCCAGGGCAAGTAATTAACAAGACCCTATCTCAAAAAAACACAATAGTAAAAGGGCTGGTGGAGTGGCTCAAGGTGTAGGTCCTGAGTTCAAACCCTAGTGCCGCAAAAAAAAAAAAAGTTGTTGTATATCATTTTATGAAAAAACTTTTTTCCTCTCTGTACTCCCTGCTTCAAGTAAAAAAAAAAAAAAAATCTTACCAAATCCTGTAGAGTTTCTTTTCCTTCTCACCACATCTCCCAGCAAATCGTTGAAAGTTTGGAGATTGAAAAGAAGATAGTACGGTGGGAAAGAAATCGTTCCTGCGGGCTTCGCCTCGCTCTGCCCTCTTCTCCTGTGCCCACCGCATCACTGGGTTTTCTCAGAAAGCCAGAATGGCTTGGAACCAGACATTCCTGGTGGTATGATCAGTTCTAAGTCCCAGAGTGTGCAGAGGAGAGGATGCTGGAAAGTCTCATCCAATGCAGGGACTTCATGAACTAAGAGCACGTTTCTTAAAGTAGACTAGCTTTTAAGCCAGGCCTAGAGGATCGTGCCTGTAATCCCAGTGCTCAGGAGATTGCGTTAAAAGGCTCTTGAGTTCAAGGCCAGCCTGTTCTATGTTAAAAAAGAAAAGTAGGTTAAATCCTACTTTGAAGCTCTTTGAATTTTTACATTCTTATAAGTATAGGTTCTCATTTTCCCATACTTAAGAAACATTCTTTCCATTGAAAGAGTAGACAGGCTTGCTTTAAAACTGGAAATTCATATGCCACCCATAATTACAAATTAACTTCTACTCAACCCACATTATTTTCTGGGACTTTGCAAGTTATAATGTCACCGTTGGTTTATTTCATGTGCAATGTGAGAGTCCAGTATTTCTATGTGGAAACCTATCAGTATTTCTTGATATGTTGCCAAATAATTTCCCAAAGGCCAACACCCTTTTATACTCAACAACCATGTATACCGGTAAGATATCAATGTTTTAAATTTTTAATTATTTTGATGCATAAAAATGGTATCTTGTTAGTGAAATGATTACAGCATATCATGATTAAACTTGAATAAAAGCCCAGCCGAAATTCCACTCTGTGAGTGGAAGTCCTCTTAATTTATCATGCCATCTCAGGATGGTTTCTAGACAAGGACAGTAACATAGATTTGATGAGCAAACTAGACAAGGTCAAGTAGTCAAAGATGCCAGCTGCCCGTGGGTCCCGTCCCACACACCAAAGTGACAACATTGAAACAGAGGAGCTTAGATGCTGAAGCCTTTGCTATAACCTCCTACTGCCTAGGTGGCAACAAGCTGTCTGGATTTAAAGGAGTAGCTTTAGTGGCTGAATCAGTCTAGCATTGGCCTGACCTTGCTTCGTGTGTGTGATAAATTACGGAGCAGAGTAGAGAAAAATGTGGAGAATTTTTATTTGATTGACCCATGAGTTGGAACTCAGACTTGTGATCATGTGAAATATCAACATGAAATACAATGGAGAGGCAAGTCTGCTGAGGATTTGTGCACCTTTCTGGGGATTTGGGCATTTTGTCTCTGAAAGGACAGTGAAGCAGGGCTTATCTCTCCCCACAGGCCGTGCTGGCAGGGGTTGTCCTGAGCAATGTCGTGCCTTACCTGGAAACCATTTACGAGCTGCCCAACCTGTGGAGGCAGAACCAGTATGACTGCGTGAGTGCAGAGCCCCGTGAGGAAGGACAGGATGGAGGGGGAATGAAAGAGGTCAGGCGTGGACAAGAGAATATTAGCAACCCTCTGAACTCTTTTTTTTTTTTTTTTTGATGGAACTGGGGTTTGAACTCAGAGCTTCACACTTGCAAAGCAGACACTCTACCGCTTAAGACACATTGCCAGTACATTTTGCTCTGGTTATTTTGGAGATGGGGTCTCCAGAACTATTTGCTCAGGCTGGCCTGGAACCTCGATCCTCCAGATCTCAGCCTCCCAAGTAACTAGGATTACAGACATGAGCCACAGGTGCCCAGCTTCCAGGAGGACAGTGACAAGGGTTTTGGTGCATGAAAACATGGAGACCTCATTCCAGCTCTGCAATAGTAAAGGGATTAAGTGGCTACAGTTACATGCAGAGGTAATAAAAAGAGTTTGTCATCCATTACATATTTGAATGACTTTTCATCCAGTTAATGTAAATATCTCCCAGAATAAGGGGCACAGATCCTAGTCAGAGAAGGAGTTTTAGTGGTGGGAGTGTCCTGCTTCTTTCCAAAGTAGAATGGCAGAGGACAGAAAGGGAACTAAAGTATGAGGGATAGAAGATGAGGAAAGGAGAAGCCCGCAGAGGCAGAGAAATATAAAAAGAGGCATGGGGTGGGGGAATGACCCTGAGCGGCTAAGAGGGATCATGGCCCCAGGCACAGACAGAGATTCTAGTACAGGAGGGAGGTGAGCACTCCCCATTGGACTGGAGAGAACAACAAAAGTTGACTGCAAATGCAGACAAGAGGCAGGGGGCAGAGAAGTAAATGTTTACTATGTCAATCTGTTTTTTCTGTGAAGATGAAGGTTAAGTTGACAGTGATACAGAAGGGTCAGTTAGGGACTTCATTTGTCCAAGACCCTTGATAACCATAATAGGTTTTACAGTAACCACCCCCAGCTGGCAAGCGTTCTGGGCTGCTGTACAGGTGGGATTTCTAACGGCAACACAGCCAATAAGGTAGCCATCGCTATCTCTACCTTGAACATGAGGAAACTGAGGTTTTGAGGAGGAACTGAAGAGAGAGATGACCAGGATACATGAGAAATTGCTAGGCAGCCTTGAGGGCCAACCGTCTGTGATAGCACTGTGAGAGTCAACTAAACTGGGCCATTTCTGACAAAGGGCTAGCCCAGTCAGTAGAGCATGAGACTCTTAACCTCAGGGTGGTGGGTTTGAGTCCCTTCCCCCCACACACACACCTGGTACCACACAAGGAATATGTCTGTCACTGTGTGGACATTAACTAATTTCCCCAGTTGCCTATGTGCTCTGCAACACATCGCCTAACTCTGTAAAGTTTCTGCCTTTAACAGAGAATTCTTTGCCATTGGATGTCCTAAACTCAAACTGCTAGTTTTAAGATAATCATTGTCCAAGGGAATCTCTGCTCCAAAGTCCCCTTGACTCATGAGTTAATTATATACTTGGTGCTGCCATTTCAGGTCAACAGTCATTTCAGGCCTCAGTTTCCCTAGAATCCTAGACATCCTGCCTCATGGGGCACCCCTTTGTCTTTGAGTACACCAACCAAATTAAGTTTTATGTTCATGCTCTCCAATCATGTCTACTCTTCCCTTATGCCCTCCCCTAAACTTCAACCTTAGTCAATCGTGAAGACTGTGAACCCAAGCTTCCTCTGTTAGAGCAAGGGGCAGTTCTGTGTTAGGGACAAAAACTGAGGCAGTCCTTCTGCCCTGGTGTGTGCTTGCTTGCCTGATTCTGGTCAGAGGCACACCCTTCTGCAGAAGTAAATTTTACCTTGCCTGTCAGCTTTTGAGCACATGTCTGATTTGTAACTGTGGCAGCACCCCGATATTTCTAACCATACCAGTCCCTGTGGCTGTGGATATTTTTCTCTAAATTCCAGGTATAGAAGGGAAAGGGCAGAGGAGAGTTGTAAGGTAGGACTGGTATCTCCTCCATTCTGCTCCATTCTCAGTTTCACAGTCTTCCTTTTCCTTTCAATCCCTTCTGCACAAGGTTATTTGGATGGTGACATTCTCAGCCGCCATTTTTCTGGGACTGGACATTGGACTACTTGTTTCATTGGTTTTCACTTTCTTCATCATCACCGTGCGTTCGCACAGGTACTGGGTGTCCTGTAGTAGGAGGTGAGCCTTGGCCAGGTAAGGCAGCCATGGCCTAAAGGCAGGTGCATTTCCTTTCAGAACAAAGATTTTCCTCCTGGGTCAAATCCCCAACACCAACATTTACAGAAGTGTCAACGACTACCGGGAGGTAAGAAGCCAGGTTGGCCCACTCTTTTTGCCCAACAGATGGGGTAGACCAAGCTCAGTCCTTAGCACTGCAGTGCATGCTTGCAAAGGAAGGGGCAGTGGTTCTCAGAGGACCAGCAGGTTAAGTAGCTAAACTCTGATGGACTGCACCAGCAAAGGCTCTTTTTTAAATGGGCTGCAAGGACTGGGGGTATGACTCAAGTGGTAAGAGCACTTGCCTAGCATGCTTGAGAACCTGTTCGATCTCCAGTATCACGATAGATAAATAATAGAAGATAGATAGATAGATATAGAGATACAATGGATTGCAAGGAGAGAGTGGCCAAGATAAGGAGAGGACTGAGAAAGGAAAGGGAAGAGAGAAAAAGTGGGGTGAAAATGAGTGGAAAAATTTTTTTCTGGCCCTTACCTCTAATAGGAAAGAGATACAGATTTTTCAGGAGGCTCTCAAGGTTTATTCTTTTGATCCATAAGAGAATTGAGATAATTGGGCATAGTGGTACATGCCTATAATCTCAGCATTAGGCCAAGGCAAGAGGACTGCAAGTTTGCAGCCAGCTTGGTCAGCACAGTGAGGTGCTTTGAGCCATTGCTGTCAGCTTCACTTTCTGTCTCACAGGTCATTCTCATCCCTGGGGTGAAAATCTTCCAGTGCTGCAACTCCATCACATTTGTCAATGTGTACCACCTGAAGCACAAGCTGCTAAAAGAGGTAGCCTCTCTCCTCCCACCTTCCTACCCCTGCTCTGAGGTCCAGGAGCATCCCTCTCCCGCCCTTTCCCCTGCCTTTCTCCCATCCTCCCTGGGTGTGAGACCTCTCTTCTGTCTTCAGCTCAACCTGGTACAGGTGCCTCTTAAAGAAGAAGAAATTTTCAAGCTGTTTAACGAAACGTGAAACCAACATACAGGAAAGCCTTTGTAGGTGTTTCTGCGACTGTGAGGAGCTGGAGCCACCACCCAGGGTTAGAGACATCTCTTTCTTTCCTGCATCTTCTCCATTGCTTAGAAAGAGTACTTACAGTTTCTTTAAAAAATCAAAATCTGGAAGGATTTTGACATTTAGAGAACTGGAAGTCAAAGATTTCCACTCAGAAATGAGGACACAGGTTCTGGTTTTGACGTGAAAGTTGATAGAAGGTGTCCTGGCTACTGTAGATGAAGAGAGCACGGTTTGCCTGTCAAGACTGTCAGAAATCCCAGAGTTGGACCTGTTTCCCTGGCCTGAGCTGTCTCACTTTAGATTTCTGAACACAAGTGACTTAAAGATTGTTTTCTGATTCCAACTAGGGCAGGGTCAAAATGGCTAAGGTTCTCCAGGATCTGCCAGGCTCTCCTGATGTCTGTCTGTGATCAAAGAAATGAAGGGGGGGTGGGGATAGATTAAGCACAGGCTGCTGTTCCAGATGGGGATTTTATAGCATCTGAAGGTGATTTCAGCTGATGAATTTGCAATGTGTTCATTATTTCCAAAGTGGACTAAGTAGTTCCTTCCGTCCAGGCAGGGCAGTTCATTTGCAGCTTTAGGGGCTGCTAGTGATTGCCTAGTCTGTAGCCTGTACCCTAGAGGGGCAGCCCCACCTACACACGCACAGAGACTGACGTCACCCCCTCATGGACTCCCTCCCCCCAAAGAACACCTACTCTTGTTCCCACACTTTAAGGAGTGCAGGGTTCCCACACTTTAAGGAGTACCAGTTTCTCTGCCAAGAGGATGGAATCAACACTGTGTCTAACTTTTATTTTGTGTCCACACAGTGCTGAGTATTGTAGAGAGTTTATTCACAGGAACATGAGCAAATATTCTTTACAGCAAAATAAGAGCCCCAGGTTTATTGAGCTCCCACTGTATGCCCAGAACTCCAGCACCATAAAAAGGGAAAGAGTGGTGTTTTAAAGTTTTATCTTATTTTAAATTGACAAATAATAATTGCATATATTTATGGGGTATAATTTATATGTATTTTAATACCATGATCCTCCTGACAGCTGCTTCCTGAGTAGCTAGGATTACAGGCATGAGCCACCAGTGCCTGGCTGTCTTTTAGCTACTTTGAAATATACAATATTATGAATTTTTGTTTTGGTGGCACTGGGGTTTGAATTCAGGGCCTCACACTTGCTAGGCAGGCACTCTTACTGCTTGAGCCACTCCACTAGCGAAAAACATACATCATTAACTGTAATCACTGTCCTGTGCAATAGAACATTAGAACTTTCTAATCCTATCTAACTGTACCTTTATGCCCTTTGACCAAAGTTCTCCCCCATCTAGCCCCCACCTCCTCCCCCACCCGAGCTTCTGGTAACTGCCACCTACTCTCTACTTGAATGAGTGACTGTTTTGGATTCTACATAGGAGTGAAAGTATGTGGTATTATCCCTCTCAGCGTAATGTCCTCTGGGTTCATCTGCAGTGTCCCCAGTGATTTAAAAGTTGGATAGAATTCCATTGTATACACACCACATTTTTAGTCCACGCATCTGTTGGCTTAGATGCTTAGATTACTTCCTAGCTTGACCGTTGTAGATAACGCTGTAGTGAAAGTGGGTGTGCAGATAGCTCTTCAGCATATGGATTTGCATTCAGTAGGATGCATACAGTAGTGGAATTACTGAATCATATGGTAATTCTATTTTTAGTTTATTGGGTAACCTCCATACTGTTTTCCCAAATAGCTCTGCTAATTTATAATTACCACCAACAGTCTGCAAGGGTCCCTTTTCTCCACATCCTCCCCAACACTTGTTATTTCCCACCTTTTTTATATCAGCCAATCTAATAGGTATGGGCTTCTAGCTCATCATGACTTTAATATGTATGCCTCTTATGGTGAGAGATGTTCAGCATTTTTTCATGTATCTGTTGGCCATTTATGTGTCTTTTGAGAAATGTCTAAGTCGTTTGCCCATTTCTCAGAGAGTCATTTGTTTTCTTGTCATTGAGTAGTTTGAGTTCCTTATGTATTTTGGATATTGGGCCCTTTTCTGATGTATGGTTTAGAGAGAGCTTTTCCTAGTTGGTTGACTGTCTATTGTTTCCTTTGCTGTGCAAAATCTTTTAGCTTGACGCAATCCCATTTGTGTATTTCTTTTTCTTTTGTTGCGTTTTGGGGTCATAAAAAAGGAAAAAGGGTTGAAGCATTTCTGTTGTTAGGTTGTTCTTTTTTCATTGTGGTGAAAATATAAAACACAGAATCTTAACCATTTTCAAGTTCAGTCGTGTGGAGTACACTACATTCCCACTGCTGTACAACCACCACCACCACCCATCTCCAAAACACTTTCGTTTTACAGACCTAGAACTCTGAATCCATCAAACAAAGACTCCTCCTTCCCTCTCCTCCCAGCCCATTCTACTTTCTCTATGAATTTAACTAGTGTAGACACCTCATATAAGTGGAATCGTATGGGATTTGTCTTTTTGTGACTGGCTTATTGCACTTAGTATAATATCCTCAAAGTTCATCCAGGAAGTTTTTTTCATGGAAAGTTTTGAACATATCCAAAAACGGACAAGTACAATGAGTACCTGGTTCCACCATCAGCTTTGTTGACTCAGAGCCAATCTTGTCTCAACTCGCTTATATAGCCCCTCAACAATCAGAGGATTGTTTTGAAGCAATTCATGGAATTTAAAATCAAATTAGGAGGCTAGGGATGTGACTCAAGTGGTAGAGCATCTGCCTAGCAAGCACGGGGCCCGAGTTCAAGCCCCAGTACTGTAAAAAAATCAAACTAGGGAGGCAACTCTGTTGCTATGACATATAAGTCTATTGTCATATTTTATCAATTCTAAAATAGACATTTTCACAGTTCTGATATCTGAACGTGTCATATGGTCTATCGCGTGTTATAGTTTAGTTTTCAGCCTGCTTTCTTTCTTGGTGATAGAAAAATAGTGGTGTAACTTAAATCCAATAAGCCATGTGTGTGTTGCTGTCTTCTCAACTCAAAGACTTTGGGGAGGGGATTGTCAGGAGCTCAGAAAGTCAGAGAAAGTTCATGTGCCAGTGGACTTGTGCTGGTGGGAGAGAAATTTGGATTGATATTAGGTAGCAATGACTCTCAGGTCATGAAAGTTTCTAGCATGGAAACTGAGGTAGAAACAAGTGCGAAGTTCTCAGGGGCAGGGGTTGTCCTGGGAAGGCTGGTCAGGCAGACCTGCCAAGAGGGAACTGTGAGGAAGAACCAGAGGCTCTCGGCACAAGGCATCTGCCTGCCTGGCTGCCCCTCAAGCCTGGAGAACAGCTCACTCCTTGAATGGCAATATTATATCATCCATCAACACCACTTCTTAATTTAAAATTTTCTTTCTTTCCTTTCTTCCTTCCTTCCTTCCTTTTCTTTTCTTTTTTTACTTTTTTACTGGAACTGAACCCGTGGCCTCAGACACTTAAGCACATACAGTACCACTGAGCTACAGCCCCAGCCCTAAAATTTATTGTACAAGCAACATTGTTGGAATAATATCAGGCTTTTTTGGGGGTTGAGCTGTCATTTATTCTCCCAAGATTTCACATTTATTTAATTTTTCATTCAGCTTCACTTTTTATTTAAAAATAACTAAGCAGCTGAGCTGGGCTTGGTGGCACACACCTGTAATCCCAACCCTTGAGAGACTGAGGCAGGAGTTCAGGGCCAACCTGGGCTACATAGTGAGACCCTGTGTCAAAGAAAGAAAGAAAAGAAAAAGATTAAGCAACTGATTTAGACTTCTAGATCAAAAGTAATTTTAGATTTGTAAGCCATTTTCAGACATGGCGTGATTACTTTTCCAATTATGTCAAAAGAGTCAACAAGTAGAGGAAGTATCCCATCGAAGCCAGTCCCTAGGTAGTTAGCAGCTGTGACAGCTTGTGTCTCAAGTGCTTTAGCTGTCACTTCATTTTTCCACTGACTAGAAACTGCTACCCCCCTGACTTTTCTAGAGGGTATATCCCATCACATACCAGGCATGGTTATAGTCCGTCCCTTTTTAAAAGAAAAGTCACTCCAAAGCGTACTTGAGTGAGTGAATGTCTTTGCTTTCCCCATTGGCAGACATACGCACTCCTCCCTGGGTCCCTGTGAGCAGTGTCTCCTTTTGTACCTCCTTGTCATTGTATTCCTGGCTCTTGACCTTGTCCTTATACCATAGCAGGCACGCTGGGCCCATTAGGAGATTGAAAAGAGTCAGAGGCAAAGACAGCCCTGCCTCCCCAAGAAAGCCTGACAGAGACTGCTGCACTGATCAAAGAAGGGGCTAGAAAAGGGCCTGGTAGGGTGTACTTCACACAGAGCTTGGTGGCACTAGAGACCCATTAGGACCCAGGATAGAGGAAAGGAGCAAATCAATGACTTTAGGCCTGGCACATGGGGACAGTAATATCAGCATTGATGCCCACAGGCAGTTGGGAAGAGGATGCAGTGGTGAGGATGAGAAAAGACACACATGGCTTTGGTCATGAACTTAAAGTGACAGTGAGATAGCTAAGCAAAAGACAGACAGTTGTACCTAGTCTGGTGTTTGAGTCTCATCACCGCCCTCCCTTCCTCCTCCCCCCCCACACCCTGTTGTCTCAGATTGTCTACTTAGAACGCTTTGAAAATAAACTGGATTCTGACACATCCTCCGTTAACCTAGTCCGCTGCTCATATTTCGATAACATGAACACAAGCCAAAGTTCCTCTGATGACCAAGTGCCATACACAGTGTCTTCCATGTCTCAGAGAAACCAAGAGCAAAGTTACGAGGACATGAACAAGCAGTGGCTTGCTCAAAACCCCTCGAGAAACAGCTCCATACCACCGCCGGACATGACGGAGAGTCTGGGGAGGAGCAGATATCTCATCCCTTACTCAGAGCCACCTCTTCAGCCCAGCACCCATACCATCATCCTGGACTTCTCCATGGTGAATTATGTGGACTCTCAGGCTTTGGTCGTATTAAGACAGGTCAGTACCACAAGCTCTGATCACCTCCCAGCTCCCACACCTGTGCTCCATTCCCAGTAAATTTATCAGTCATCGCTAGCTGCTATGGAATTGCTAGACTGCCAAAAACTGGACACTGAAGGTAGTTTAAGGTCAGTCAAAATAAAAAGAAAACAAACTCGCTCTGTTTTGTTGAACTGGGGTTAGTTCAGTAAACACGAACCATTTATTGTTTCCCAAGGAATGAAAATAAAGGAAACCCCAAACCCCACTGGAGCTGTGATCTGGCAATGTCTACTGTTTGGCTCTCAGGATGTGTATCTCTGGATTTAGATTCAAATCTTTTAAGGAATAAGTCCAAATGCTACAGAAAAAAAAAAAAGTTCACCAAGATTTCTGCACTGTTAGCTGTTCCAAGCCAAGCACCGGGGTATCCTGTTCTCCAGATTGGAGAAATTGGGATGGAGTGAGACCTCAAGCCTGGGGCTGCCTGACCAGTGCCTGTAGGGTCTTCCCCCCTTCCCTCTTTACCACCTGCATCTTCAGGCAAAAAAAAAAAAAAAATGAAAGATAGTTTTCCTTCAAAATTTGTGTCATTGGGTCCTGACTTCTACTCTTGGGTTCGTTGACAAGTCTCTCCTCTCTGTGCAGAAGAGTTAGCTGCACAGTTAACCACGCTGGCTTCACTGTCTCACGTCTCATGAGGACAGTCTATTTCTCAGGCACCTTATCCCTGTCTACAGCACTCTATCTTGCGTTCTCCCCTCTTGGCAATGGACCACATTTAAACATCCTGAAAGCTCACTTCCCAGCTTTGAGCACACCCACCGTTTTGTGACATATGCTTCTGTGGTTGGTTTGCATTCTTTGGTCTTTGGATGGCATTTTATCATCCCTTCTATTCCAGAAGGAATACAGTTCTCTCAAGAGAGCCCAGCTACTCTCAGCATTGAAATGACAGGGAAGAGGTCTGGCTGCCATTCTGGAGATGGATGCTCTTTGCTGGCTTTTCTGGTCACCATCTTTCCATCCAGGGGAGACTACTAAATTGTCCTGGGTGTCTGTTTCCTCATCTATAACATGGAGGTTTGGAAGAGATTAAGATCTTTCCCATTACACACACACACACACACACACACACACACACACACACACACCCCATTGATAATCTCTCATCTTGGAGGCTTTTCAATCTTAGGTCATTGTTCCGGGCTGTATTGTTCTATAGTCATTACTTTAGATTTCATTCAAGTCACATTATCACATGCCCAGGTATACAAACTCTCTCCTTTAATTCTCACAGCAACTCTGAGAGAGAGACATGTCATGCTCTCCTCTAAGAGTCTGAGGCTCACAGCTAATAAGCAGCCTGGCCAGCTTTTGAACTTCCAGAACCTGACTTCATGTCACTCTTTTGCCCTGTCCCATAGCACAATTTTACCTGCCTTTCCTCTCTTGCTCCTTTGTTGTAGGGACACCATGTGTTCTGGTCCTTGGCATCATCCATCCACACCTGGCCTGTGTGGATGACTTTCTGCTCCATCCCCATGGAGGCGTGCCAGGCACCTTTACCTTACACCATGAGACAGGTGTGGAGCACCTTTACACTATAAAAGTGCAGGTTTCTTCAGTCCTCCTTAATTGTTCTGTATCTCCTCTTATTGAAGGAAATCACTGTTTTGTTTACCTTATAATCAAAGCCTTTAAGCCCACTTTAAAAAAATCCCATCAGTCCATTCCTTTTGGAGATAACTACTCCATTTAAGCTTCAGCTGCTGATGATATTGCTTCTCCTCCTCCTCCTCTCCCTTCTCTTCCTCCTCCTCCTCCTGTCCTTGGAGGTACTGGGGTTTGAACTCAGGGCTTTGTGCTTGCTTGGCAAGCACCCTACCACTTGAGCCACTCCTTTCCCATTGCTTGTCATTTAGAGGATGCTAGTTTTGACCCATCACCAAATGACTTTGGTTTACCATAAGATCAAGAATGACTTTCTTGTTTCTTCTCAGTACTGGTAGAAGCAGAATAATATTTATTTATTTATTTGTTTATATTTTTTTGGTGGTACTAGGGTTTGCTTTCAGGGCCTCATGCTTGCAAGGCAGGTGCTCTACCACTTGAGCCACTCTACCAGCTCCCCAGAGTCATTTAAACTCAGTGCCCAGGGTTGAAGTCTACTCAGTGTTTGAGTGTTAAGGTTTAGGATTGACTTGCATTGAAGCAAACTTCAAGATTTATTGCCCCTATATAGTGGCTGAAGTAAATTTGAGGTCAGAATCTAATGTTTTACTAAAATCAACTGCAACCTTGCAGAGCAGCTCTGGATGGGACTTTCAGAGTTTCTGAATTCTGTTCTCTCCCTTGGCCATCTCTGAGCCATGTCAGCGGACTCCAGGGTGGTCACACCCAAACACCAAGTAACAATACCGAGAGAGGGCTATTGGTGACCCCTCTCCAAAGGGTTTCTGTCACACCTGTGCCCCTCTCTATTCTGAGGCTTCCTCCTGCAAACACTCTCTCTGTATATGAACTGTCTCCTCGAGACTCTGAGCAGCCCTCCCTTCTCACTGCCCACCTCCATCCACATGATACAGCCTGACTCTCATGTGTGTTCCCAGGACTTCAGGTACTCATCAAATGATGTAGAGCAGATTTGGGGGACGGAGATGCGTGCGCCCCACACACGTGGCTGGCTAGGAGATCCTGTCCCATGTTGCTCTTAGACACTGACTCCCTCCTTTCTCCCAGCAGATGTGCAATTCTTTCCACAACGCGAACATCTTGGTGATCATTTCTGGGTGTCATTGTGAGTATCCTTCACCCTACAAGAGGTCTGTGTCTGGCCCCCAGGGGTTCTGCTCCCCAGTGTGCTGACACAGTTGGTTTGGTTTGCAGCTTCTGTGGTCAGGGCATTTGAGAAGAATGACTTCTTTGATTCTGGCATCACCAAGTCCCAGCTCTTCCTCAGCCTCCACGATGCCGTGCTGTTTGCCTCGACGAGGAAGTTGCCAGACTCCTCTGAATTAAGCGTGGATGAATCAGAGACAGTCATACAGGAAACCTACTCAGAAACAGACAAGGTTGGATGGTTTTGGGGCTGGGGGATAAGAGTGGGGATAGGGGAGATGCCTGATAAGTAGAGATGAACAATGCTCAGATGCCAGAATTTGAGGTGTTGAAAGTGCTGTCTGACCAACTGGCAAATCACAGAGAACCTGAGCTGCCATGTGCAGCTGGGTCTGTCCCCAACTAAAGAGAGGTATACCCAACCCAGCAGAGGCCTCGACCATCCTTTTCCAGCAGTCTTGGTCAGTGCCATACCAATTGCTAAACATTTCCTGTAGACATACCTTTGTTTTATTTTGATGGTACTGGGGTTTGAACTCAGGGCCTCACGCTTGCTAGGCAGGTGCTTTACTGCTTGAGCCACTCCTCCATCTCTTTTTGCTTTATTTTTTAGATAGGGTCTCGTGATTTTTCCTGGACAGGCCTGGACCATGATCCTTCTGCCTACACCTCCCTAGACATACCTTTAGAACCTACCCCACTCCAGCCTCTGAGATGAATAATAAAACTGGTGAACTAGAGGAGAAAATTATCTGTGTAAGATTTCCTCAAGCTGAACACATGTGAAGGAGAAGGAAACATAAGCCAAAGCTTTAGTCATTTATTAATACTAAGAAAACACCTGCGTCTGCTTTAGTCTTTTCAGATCAGTACTACGCAGGTTAACAATTCCTCCCAAAAGGAAATGAAAACATAGATAGGCATCAAATAGTATTTAATAAGTAGGAATTATTTTTCAATCAAATTTCTGGTATTTGGTTTACTAGGTTTCAATAATGTTTGAATTTTTATGACAAGAACAGTGGTACCACAGTAATATGTATTTTTAAAATTCCAAGAAGATACATAGGCTTTTAAAACACAGCCTTTTTCTTCTTTTTGGCAGTCCTGGGACTTGAACTCAGGGCCTCATGCTTGCTAGGCAGGTGCTCTACCACTTTAGCTACTCTGGCAGCCCTTTTTGGTGTTAGATATTTTCAAGATAAGGTATCATGTACTATTTGCCTTGGGCTGGCTTCAAACCACAATCCTCCTGATCTCTTGTCTACTGAGTTGCTAGGATTATAGGTGTGAGCCACCAGTGCCCATCCTTTTACTCTTTTTTTTTTTTTAAAAGTAACGTATTACCGGTTACTTCCCTTGCCTTTTTTTTTTTTTTTTTGGGTGGAGGTACTCTACTACTTGAGCCATACCTTTTTTTTTCTTGACCTTAGTTATTTAGTTATTTCTTTAGTTCTTTTTTCAGATGGAATCTCATGTTTTTAGCCCAGGACTAGCCTCAGATTGTGATCTTCCTACCTACAGTCTCCTGCTTAGCTGGGATCACAGGTGTACACACCACTACCCGGTTTTTTGATTGAGGTGTGGGGGGGGGTCTCATTAACTTTTCGCCCAAGCTGGTCTGGAACCATGATCTTTCCTCCTGAGTAGCTGGGATTACAGGTGTGAGCTACTGTGCCTCACTATTTCCCTTACTTTGTTGAGAATTCTCACAGGCTATATGCTTCTGTTTATTCAATCAATTTTTTCCCTGATAGTTAGACCTGAATATATTTTTTCTGGTCTATGCTATAATCTACTCCCATTTATAAGATCATAGAATCGAAAAAGATTGAATTGGGAGAGACCTCAGAGTTCATCAGGTTTACCCCCATCTGGATCAAGAATTCTTTTGACAGCATCTCTGACCAGATGTGGTCCTTCTTATGCTCAGAGACTTCCACTGAGTCTCAAACATTAGTGTACATCAGAATCCCCTAAATGTGCTGTTAAAACAAAGACAACCGGACCTTTCAGTGCCCCATTCCTCTGAGTTTCTGGCTTGGTGGATCTGGGATGAGCCTTCAGTCTGCATTGCTAACCAGGTTACCAGGCAAGATGGCTGCTACGGCACCAGAGTCCCACTCTGACCATTGCTGCCTTGAAGATGCTCAGGCATCTGTGTCAGATGTGCACATATTTAGAAAATGTTCAAAGAAATCATCTGTGGCCTAGGACGTTAGTTTCCTTACAGATTTTGTTTTGCCACCTATGTGGAGTCACTAGCAATCCATAGTCACTTTGATCTGACTTCAGGACTTGAGGTTTCGAGGTCACTGAGATGACACAGAGCCTGGTTAGGGTTATGAGAAGCTTCATCATCTCCCGTGTCAGGCCCGGGAGTCCCATTCCTGAAGCCCTAACTAAGTCCTTAAAGCCACAGAAGTACTGCTTAGCATACATGTGCCACTCCAGATCAGAAATGCCCTCAGGACAAAAGTGGCACCAAATGCCAGATTCACCTCTCTAGATTTTCACCTTTTCCCAAATCTTGGCCTGGTAATTCTTGGCAATCTTATTAGTGTCTTCAAGCAGAAGTTTGAAAAACAAACAACAAACAAACAAGCACACACAGCTTATCCAGCTATTCTAGTTGTCCTGGGTTTGAAATGCAAGTCTGACTTTACTATAAATGGAAGTTTGTTTTGTTTTTTTATTTATTTCTGACTCTTTTGACATATCTATACTTATATGATATACTTACATCTATTAATATTGCCCTTATTTTCCATTTACTTTTCATTTAGAAAGTTCTTCCCACTTAGAAAGTAAATAAATAACAAATTTTCTCCTAGCTGTTATGTTTTATTTTTTATGTTCTACTCTTTAGTCTAAGGGGAAGGTGTTTTAGTATATTTCAGTATAAAATGTCAAAGATAAGCCTTTTTTTAACCTATATACCTAACAAAATAGGTGATCACTGGTGACTTATAAACAACAGAAGGCTTTGTTCACAGTTCTGAAGATGGGAGCCCAAGATCAAGGTGTCAGCAGGTTTGCTGTCTGGGGAGTGCTCATTCTGTCATGGCCTCCTCACATGGCAGAAGGCAGAAGTCCCCCCAGCCCTTTCATGGGGCACTAATCGAAAGGAGAGGACAGAACCCTCAGGACTAAATGCTCCCCAGAGACCCCTCCTCTCAACCCCCCAAAATGAGTATTCATTCAACACGTTTGGAGGCCAAGATAGTCAAGCCATAGCACACTCTACCTGTATTGACCCTCATTGATCTGAAATGCTCTGTTCATGGAATATTATATTCTTATGAAAACCAAAACCTATTTGTAGTTTAGGTTTTGGCTTCATTGTTCTGCATAGCTTCAGTGTCGCACTATTTGGATTACTATGACTTTCTGATATATTTCAACATTTGGTTAAGAAGTCCCATGTCATCAGCATTCTGTTTGCAAATTTTCTAGGTCATCATCAATTGATTCTTCCAAACTAACTTCTGAATCTTTGTCAGATTCCGTCCTCTCAAAAATAAAAAAAACAGCAGTTGGAATTTCCTTTAGAATTACGCTAAAAATAAGTTAAAAATTTACATCTCTAAAGTATTTGCTATTTCTGTCCAGGAACATGGACTGTTCTGTCTCTACATCCAGTCTTTTAAAATTTTATTCATACTAAGGTTTTATGACTTTCTGCATAGAGATATCTCCTAGACATGTCTAGATATTTAGACTTCATATGTTTTACATTTTTGTTGTTTTGAGAAATAAATTTTCATAGACCAGGCATACTAGCACAGGCCAGCAGTCCCAGCTCCTCAGGAGGCTGAGACAGAAGGGTCACTTGAACCCACAAGTTTGAGGCTAGCTTGGGCAACACAGCAAGATCCCCCTCCTCCACTGCTAATCTCAAACTATAAACAATAATAAAATAAATTTTATTTTCCATTATACATTCCAATGGGCAATTGCTAAGATCTAGGAAACTCCTTGGTTTTTATAAAATATTTGGTCAGCTTTGTGTGTCCTTTTTCCTAGTCCTAAAAAGTTTCATTGCTACATGAAAAATATTTACTGGGCTTGCAGAGTGGCTCAAGTTGTAGAACACCTGCCAAGTCTGAAGCCCTAAGTTCAAACCCCAGTAACACAAAAAAAAAAAAAAAAAAAAAAGAATTGGTATTGAATTTGTTTAATTTTCTTCTGGAATTTAAGATAGGGGAAACTAGGAGAGAAGCAAGTTCTATTTCATGTGTGTTAAAATCAAGATGCCCACCAAACAGTCAAGTGGAGCTGCCAAGAGTGACCATGGGGTTTGAACCTGCCACTTAGAGAAAGAGTTATAACCAGAGAGTCTCTGGCATTTAGATGGTAATGACAATTATGGACCTAACTAAAATCACCTATAGAGAGAGTGTAGTTGGAGAAGGAAAGGGTCCCAGAATCAACACCTGAGGCATGCCAGCATTTAAAAATCCAGCAAAGGGTTATGGGTATGGCTCAAGTAGTACAGTGTCTGCCTACCAAGTGTGAGACCCTGAGTTCAAACTCCTTTAGGTTAAAAAGAATTAAAAAATCCAGAAGTAGAGGAGACATCAAAGACACCAAGAAGCAGCAAGCCAGGGAGGAAAATAGGAAAACCAGGAGAGTGTCATATGGTGAAGGAGAAGGAAGTTTCAGGAAGGATGAAAGTGGCAAATTTTGTCAAATGCTGCTCTTCTGCAAAGCTATTCACCAAGACTTGTTGTGTAGCACGTGCTGCGTGACAGGCTCAGTGCCTGGTCTGGGGCTATGGAGAACCAGCCACTGCCCCACTGCAAGGCGCTTAGAGTTTAGTAAGGGACAGGTTTGTAAGTAAAGAAGGGAATGCACACTGGTCCAGTGAGGCGGTGTGTAGGGGACACAGTTGAAACACAGAGGAGGCCAGGAGCCTGGCTGATTGTCTTTCATCTGAATCTGGAATGATGAGTAAGCGTGTGTGGATGGGATGGGAGATGGGCAAGGCAGGCCAAGGAGCAGCCATCAGGCAACTCTGGATGATTTGATGGCTAGATCAGAGGGAGGGTACCACAGTTAGGGATAAAGCTAAAGAAGACAGGAAGAGGCCAGATGGGTCCTGTCAAGGGCTGCACTGGGGGTTGGCAAGACAGGTAAGCTCTAGATGGCAAGATGTTTCAGAATACTGTCAAGACCACTGTTGTTATGACTGATCACGAAATCCAGTCTACCCAACACAGCCAGAGACATCAGAAGATAAGGACTGACTGGGCCCAAAGAATAGTTGAGTAACTGAGGATTTTAGAGTGCAAAGAACATGAAAAGCAGACTGAGGCAAGAGCTACTTTCTGCTGTACCAGGAACCCATGGTTCTGGTTCTTGTCATATTCAGAAATTCCTTGACTGCTCAAAGTTAAATTAACTGGAAATTTTAACCCATCTATTTGTGTGTTATTACAGAATGACAAAGCAATACAGAAAATGAGTAGTAGTTTTATAGAAAACCCAAAAAATGTAAATCCAAGCTTCGTCAAGATGCAGAATCTTGCAGAAGAGGAAGAGTTGGACTATGAGTCAGAGATGGAGCCCACGCTGGAGTCAGAACAAGAAGATGGGCTGGATCTCAAACTGGCCCTGGATCGGGACCTGGAGGACGAGTCAGAGCTGTACCCTGGATATGAGCCTGAAACAGAGCCCGAGACAGAGCCCGAGCCCCAGCTTGACACAGAGCCTGAGCCTGAGACTGAACCCGAGACCAATCTGGAGATGGAGAGGGAGAGGAAACCCGAGCCCAAATCTGAATCGAGGTCTCACATGCACTCTCGGCAACACTACTGGCCGGTTTATCAGTCTGGGGTTCGCAGCTCCTCGTCCGTCGGTCAGTCTCGGACACGATCAGTGGAGAGGAGACGGCACCACATGGATTCCTACTTGTCCCAGGACAACAGTGATGACGCCTGGAAGATGAAGTATAAATAAGGGGTTAGATAACCTTGGCAAATCCTTCCCAGCCAAAAGGGGTCACTTAGTCACAAGACCTAGACTGGGTACAAATTGCAGGACTTGCTTTGTGACTCCTCCATCTGCTTCCTTCTTCCTTACTCAGCATGGGGGGCACACTTCTAGACCACATTACTAAGTGACAACAATTATCTCCCCTCATTTCACCTTCAGCAGATATTCTAGTAAAGGATTTCCTTCATACACCCACATCTCTGGGGCTTGTGCCAGACCACCTCTGACTTACTCAGAGCTCTCATCTCATCCCCTTTCTCCAAAGAGATGAGGTTTCAATAAAATATAGAACTCTGGTTAGATTTGGATCTTTCCTGTACCTTCTCCCTTCTCTGTAGCCTGTGTGCCCAAAGAAATGTCAAATGGAAGGGATTCCAAAAGGGAGTGGACATGGTGGAAAAAGACAGTCAAGTAAAAGAAAACTTGAGTAGCACTGTAGTTTAATTTGCAAACTATTTTCACTGTACGGGTGGGGAAAATAGGTAGGTTAAGCCAAGCCAGAGGTAAGCCAGCCTGTGAGGCCCGTAGCACAAGGGTCTGCTAAGCAGAAAGCACTTCTGCTGTCACAGTCAACATCCTATCCTGCCATGGTGTCACGGCCACCCAGCTGCACCAGCTGATGAGGATGCTCACTTTAATAGAGTGCTCCCTGCCTCCGGTTCAAACACATCTACCACTGCCTCTTACTTCTAAGTTTTTAAGAATCATTACTCTTGGTGGGCCAGATTTAGTTCAAATCTGTGACAGACACAAACCAGCTAGTAGTAGGAAAAAGTCAATCATTTCTAGCTTGGTTCAAATCCATTCAAACCGTTACTCCTTTTCCCAATAGAAAAGAGTGTTGAGTAATATAAGCTAAGTCCAGAAGAGTACGAACCCCTGGTCAAAGATATATGAAATCTCGTATTTTACTTCCAATTCAATAAACATGGTTCTTTCTTCTTGGGTACTTAATTTCTCTTGTTTATTAAATGAAAGATACTTTGTTAAAATGCAGATTTCTCATCACAGAAGTAACACATGCATTCATGCATTCTATGCCTAGTACCTCGAGCCGCAGAGTGGATAAAACAATATCATCCCACCTTACATATGCACAAACTGAGACTCAGAAGTGTTGTAACTAGCTCAAGGTGTTTACAATATAGTCTTGTATTTCCAAAAAAAAAAAAAAAAGGTGGGGCTAGATGTGGAGGCACGTGCCTGTGATCCTAGTACTTGAGAGGCGGAAGTGGGAGAAATGGGAGTTTGAGGTCAGCCAGGGCTACATAGGGAGACCATCAGAGAGCTGGAGGGAGAGAAGGAAGGAGAGAGATAAAGAGAGAGATGGATGTGTATTAGTTTTGCATTGCTATGATGAAATATCTGAGTCAGGCAACTTTATAAAGAAAAGAGGTTTATTAAGCTCATGATTCTAGAAGTTCAAAGTCCAAGACTAACAGCCCTCATTGGTTTGTGTCTTGCGAAGGCCTAACAACAGGTGGTGTCACAACAGTGGAAGCAGGTGTTTGGAAATTACATCTCTAAACAGGAAGCCAGAAGGGTCAGGTTTGCTCTTATAACAGTTCACTTTCGCATGAGCTCTGGGGTCCCATGAGACCTAGCTCAGTCCCTCTTGGGGGCAGCTCCTGAAATGACCCTAGGACCTCCCACTAGGCCCCACCTCTTAAAGGTTCCACACCATCTTCCAACATCACTTCCCTGAGGACCAACCTTCCAACACATGAACCCATGGCGGGGAGGAGGGCTGAACAAGCTGCAGCTAAACCATAGCAGAATCCAGGTCACAGGATTCATTTCTTTCACGTTTATTGGCATTGAACTTCTGTGTGCCGGGTGCTAGATATATAATGAAGAGCGCGAACACAAAAATGGTTATAAATTGTGATGATTAACTTGAAAGTAAAATACAGGAAACTCTGAGGGACTATATTCAGAGGATCCGACCTAGTCTTGGATGTCCAGGAATTTCTTCCCATGACAATGACATATGACCCAGGATCTGAAGGATGAACAGGAGTTAGGCTTAAAGCAAGTTCCAATGACTGCTAGGAGGGTAAACCTAAATGGGAGGCCAAGTGTGGTGACCATGGCTGAGAACAGAAGCTGAGCACTCAGAGACAGCCAGATGGAACCTAGTTGTGATTACATTGGCACAAAGGCTTGACTAGAAACCATGCCGAGTCACAAGTACAGAGTCAGGGTAGCAGGGACAGGCACAGAAATTTGGCCAGACTAAGGCAACATGTAATATTTCTAACAGGAAACTGAGAAGTACATGGAGAGCTCAGTTTCTGTGGGCTGCCAGCTTCTCACTCCAGTTCCCACCTAGTGACTTGTTTCTGTAAAAGGAAAGCCTTTAAAACACACAATCCCTGGCTCCTAACACTTGGGCAGTAAGTGGTAGAAGATACACTGTTGTCCTTTCTACTAGGACTGCAATGTAGCTAAATATTGACTTTGATACATGGCCTCAGATAATCCAATCAGATGTTGGACTATAGTCTACCTTTAAAGAGTATTCTGAGACGGACGCCAGAGGCTTATGCTTATAATCCTAGCTACTTGGGAGGCTGAGATTGGAAGGATCGCTGTTCAAGGCCAGCCCAGGCAAATAGTTCCAGAGACCCCCGTCTCCAAAATAAACAGAGCAAAATGTACGTGTAAATGTCTTAGCACAAGATTTTCTGCTGAAAAGAAAAAACCCTCAAAGTATGAACTGGGGTATGATTTTTATAAGCATAGATCTACGTGGAATACAAGAACTGAAAAAAGAAAAAAAAAGTAGATCTGGAGAAGAAACTGGTCAAAAATAGGTGCCTCCAGGTAACTGTCACTACATGAGAAGTCACAAAGTTCAAGGAGAGAATTGTATTACATCTAGCTTCAACGCTCATTTATCACAAATAGAGAAAGCAACAGTGTAAGCTAAGGTTATTAGAGACTCTGGGGTCATAGACTTGGTGCTTGGAAGGACTGGAAGGACTGTCTCAGCTAATTACCTGTTTAATCTCTTACAATTAAAGCTAATTCAACAAGCACTTACTGGACTGCTCACCACATCTTGATACTATGTTTCTGCTCAAACTATTGTATAACAAGCGACCCCAAATTTACTGACTTGAAATAATAACCATGAGTTTGCTCATGATTCTGAGATTCAGGTTGGATTTAGCTGGGCCCATTCATGATGGTCCAGGCATCTGGAGATCAAGAGAGGCTGGAAGTCAAATACGCCTTTAATCACATCTGACACCTCCTCTGGGATGGCTGGATGGTGTGGAGTCTGGCCAGGCATCTCTGTGTCACCACATGGTCTCTTCAGTAGGGTACTAGATTTTATAAGGCAGCTCAAGGAATATTGTCACATCTGCCACACTGCTAATCTGAATGACTTGAGCTGCACTGATTCAGTGTGAGGAGAAACACAGCTCTCTTCTTGAAGAGAGGTTGCTGAAGAGTTTGCAGCCATGCATAATCCACCATACTATATAGTAAGTCTGAGGAGAGACGATGAGTAAGACGTGACTTCCACCATCAAGGAGCTCCTCAACTGCAGACAGGCACTGTGGGGAAGGAGCCTTGCGCCTCTGAAATCATTACAGTACAACTGGGAAAGGTGATCATAAAGGTGATCATGAGAGATAAAGTCTTTTTTTTTTTTGGAGGGGGGGTCTGGCTTCCTGCTGAATGTGTCAATAATTCGTCTTTTTTCATAGGTAGGAGTGTATTGTATAGATAAATCACAGTCTGCTTATCCACTCATCTGCTTATAGACACGGACTGTTTCTAGCTTTTTACTATTACAAATTTAAAAAGCTGTGAACAGCAATGTGTCTTTCTATATATATTCTCATTTCTCTTTGGAAAGGAATGACTGAGTCATATGATAAATGTAAGATTAAGAGTTTAAGAATTTTCCAAACTATTTTGCAAAACAGTTGTAGCATTTTCTGTTTCTACCAGCAATATGAAAATTCTAGTCTCACCATTCTCCTCCGTACTTCTTGGTCTTTTTTTGTGGGGGACTGGGGTTTGAACTCACGACTGCAATGCCTGCTCCACCGCTTGAGTCATACCTCCCGTTATGTTTCGGAGATGGGATCATGTGAAATATTTGCCAGGGCTGGCCTGGAACTGAGATCCTCCTGATCTCAGCCTCTCAAGTAGCTAGGATTACAGGCATGAGCCACCAGCTCTGGGCTGTGTTAGTCTTTTTAATATGAGACTTTCTAATAAGCGCATAGTTACATCTCACTGTGGGCTGAAGTTACATTTTCCTAATGACTAACAAGGTGAAAAATTCTTTCATATGCTTATTTGACTTTCAGATGTTTTTTAGTCCTTTTTACTTGTTATATCTCTAAGACTTTTCTGTTTTTGTTTCCATTCTGATCTTTGTTATTTTTTCTGTATAATCTGGGTTTCATTTGCCTTTCTTCTTTTAGGTTCTTCAGGTGGAAGCTGAGTTCATTTACTCGACATCCTCCTTTCTAATATTGCTGTTTAGTGCTATAATTTTCCATCTAAGTACTGCTTTAGTTACACTTCAGAAGTTTTGTTGTTTGTTTTCATTCCACTCAAAATGCATTCTGACTTCAACCCTGATTTCGTCTTTGACTTATGGGCTGCACAGAAGTGTGCTTAGTTTCCAAACACAGGATATCTCCTAAATATCTTTCTTTCTAACTTAATTCCATTATACTGAGATAACATACTTTGCATGATTTGATTCTTTTTAAGCTTTTTTTGAGACTTGTTTTATGATCCAAAAAAAAAAACCAAGGCCATCTTAGAAAACGTGAATGTGTTTGAGAAGAATGTGTGTTCTGACTTGAGAGTGTTATTTGATAAAAGTCAGTAAGTTCAAAAAGACAGGTGCGGGCTGGCGGAGTGGCTGAAGTGGTAAACATCTGCCTAGCAAGTGTGAGGCCCCGAGTTCAAACCCCAGTGCTGCCCCACCACAAAAAAAAACAAAAATGAAAATAAAAAGGTGCAGTTTTACAAGCCACTAAGAAGTTTAAGGCAGAAAGATCACAAGTTCAAAGGCAGCTTGGGCTACATAGTGAGAAACTGTCTCAAAAAGAAATAAGAAAAAAAGGAGCAAGGTCAAGTTGGTTGATAGTGTTTTGCAGCGTTCTAAATTGTTACTGGCTACCAATCTAGTTGTTCTATTAATTATTGAGAAAGGGGTGTTTGAAAATTCCAACTATAATTGTAGGTCTGCCTATTTCTCTTTGCAGTCTCAAAGTTTTTGCTTATGTGTTTTGGTGCTGTTTTTAGGTTCTTTTTTATTATACTTTTATTAGGATACATTCATTATGGGGGGGTGATTCATAGTGAGAATTCCGATTAGACTTATACTGTACATTATTTCCATCACCCCCATCATCTCTCCCCCTCAGCTCCCTCCCCACCCCACTTAAAGCAACTGCAATGTTTTTTATTATTATTGCAATGTTTCATATAGGTATATGAAGTCCATCTGCCATATACTGTCACCGTAATCTCCTTCCTTCACCCTTCCCCCTCCCTAGGTTGTTAATATTTAGCTTTATTATATATTTTCAATGACTAGACCTAGTTTTTCACTATGAAGTGACCTTTTTGTGCTTGGTAGCATTTTTGTTCTGAGATTTTTACTTTGTCTAATATTGACACTATACCTTTCTGTTGAACAACGTTAACATAGTGTATCAGTAGGTTTCTTGTAGGTGGCATATTTGCAGCTTGCTTTTTTTGCCCTTGTTTGAAAATTTCTAATTTTTAATTGGCATATTTATACCATTTACATTTTATATGATTGTTAATATAGTTAGGCTTGATTCATCTTATTTGTTGTTACTGTTGTTGTTTTTTCGTGGAACCAAGCTTTGAGCTCAGGGCTTCACACTTACAAAGCAGGTGCTCTACCACTTGAACCACACCTCCAATCCATTTT